ATATATGTTATTACCAAAGAAGAAAAAAGCCAGTCAGTCACTCAATAGTCTCTGACAGTGAAGTGTAGCAAGTAAACGGGTTTCCTTGCATAATTTGAATATAAGGACACTGCTAACGTTTAAATTTCACAGATAGGACATACATGACATATTCGTAATTCCTGCAAAGTTCTACAGAATTTGAGGTTGGCTGCAAAAGGGACATAGTACCTTTAACACTCTTCATTTCCAGTCATATTTTGTTCCCTTCTATGGTAAACCAAGTCTCTTTAGAATAGTACTACAATAAATCATTATTATTATTGTCATTATATTGGTTTGGTTGTTTGTTTGTAAATGTGTATTTCTATTGTACTTTGTTTTTCTGTCTTGCTTTCTTGTATTGCCTCTTATTGGTTTTGGAAAGCATATTTCCAGATTTGTGGACAAGAATAAATAAATGATGATTGATCAATGAATCCAAAGGGTTCTTGCTATAGCCCTGTTTACTGGCGACTCACAAATATGGGTCTTACTCGAACTAGGATGTCTCTACCGGGACCTGGGGGTGTTTCACAAAGATCCTAAGTTGATCTTAACTCCATGTTGGACTTAAAAATTATGGAGAGCCATTTGTAGCCTTAAAATTTAATATATTCAAAAGCAAAAGTTATTCTAGACTTTTTATAAATTGCACATTAAGAACATGAAATCTCCTTGATATTAGAAAATATGAATGATTTGAATCAACATTTTATGCCTTTTAAAATAACTTTTACGAAATATTTTCATAGATGCTAACGGCTTCCCATGACTTTTAAGTCCAACTTAGAGTTAAGTTCGACTTAGAATCTTTGTGAAACACCCCCCCCCCCTGATCTCATATGTCCCGGTAAACCCCAGTGCTTTCTTCGTTAAACAAATATATATATATATATATATATATATATATTATCTTCTTGTTACGTATAAAATGTGATAACCAAAAAGTGAGAAGACTAAGAACTTTTCTTATTTTGTTTTGCTTAAATTTGTTATTCATTTCAAAGAAGAAAAAAAAAAGCAAAAAAAAAAAGCAGAAATTACAATAATCTGAAGGAAAACAATGCCGCAGTTTCCCGAGGCATATTTGAGGGAGCCGTTATTGAAATCGAAATGAAGTGTATGTACTATTAGTAAATAGTGATATCCATTGAAAAAAGATGCTATATAATATTGGATTTTATACATCTACCTTGATTATAAATAACATGAATACTGAAAATGAAACTTCAAAGAAAAGCAGAACCATGATATTTGTTTAACACCAAGAATTAAGTTTATTGCACATTGCCAAAAAAGTTTTATAATGGTACATTTCAAGTAATTTATGACTGTCTTGTTTTACAGTAGAACATGTGTTAGAGCCTTTCAATTCTAGATAGATGTGATCATCTTTCCAACTATTTGAGTTGAACATTTCTGCCGCTCTTCACTATGGCAAATAACCAAGATTAATGCTGTTTAAATTCGTTGTGACGGCAAACAGAACGGGTGGCACGTAATAGAGATAGCTGACACAGTGGACAAGGTTGCTGGTTCTATACAAGTTTGTGCTAAACAATGGCGTGGTGATCACACCAGCGCTAAACACTGAATTTGCCCCAGTCTAGTCCGTTGCTTGAATGAATGAGTTCGAAGTTTTATAGAAGTGACAAGAGTATTGCCTCAAAATATTGATGATTTTATGAGCAGCATACTTTTTAACCATAATGCTATCAATGTTTCCGATCAAGATCATGTTAATGCCTTTAATATAAACACATTATTCCTTTGCTTCTCGTCGGTAATGAATGATTTTTATTTAAATTACTGAATTGGTTGAGATTTTAATTTCGGAGCAACAACTCCAATGGAATGTGCACATTCCGGACCAGCCAAAGATATGTGCAGATTCCATGCGAGAACTGTTGCTCTATCCAATTAACTTAAAAGCTCTTGAGTTATTTTTATTTTTTCTTGTTTAGGGATGGCATCAAGTACCATCTTATCATTGCGTGACATTTGAATCAATGGAAATACTTCAATCATGTAAAGGAAGGAAAACGTAATGGATGTCAATTATATACATGATTAAGCATTGACATAATTAAGTATATGACATAAATATCATAAAATAGAGGTTGAAGATTTTTCCACCAATTAACACATTATAATGACTGTGTGCTTATAGATATATACAACAGATTCAAATTCCTTCGAATAGAAGGTTTGTTGAAAAAGAAAAAGGAAATTTCCCCCACATTCAGTTCAATTTTAAAAACGGATGTCAGTAAAGATTGCTTTGAATGTTAAGTTTATCTCAGACACAATGTTAACCAGATTGAATCTATAGTTTACAGTTTAATAGTGTGTATATTGCACAATAATTGGACAGAGTTCCAATAGAAAATGGTAATGCTGATAACTATACAACGTTCACAGACCTCCTCAGCGAATCTTCAAATAACATGAAGTGCTTGGATGCCAACGTAATTGATTCTTTGTCTAGAAAGTATAATTGAAGTTTACAGCATTAATACCTTAAACTACATAGCGACAGTAAAGTATACTTTAGTGTGATAGTTTCTTCAAAATGGCGGCAGGTGAACCAAAACGTAATGACAGATATTTGAAGATCTTTGTATTATCATTCCAATATAAACACTATGCCCTTTTGCGAACAGAGATTTCAATTTATGTGTCTAGTTTGAGGAGAGTCACTTCCGTTTGTATATATATATATATATATATATATATATATATATAAGGTGACGAGAGTTCATAGGTCACAGGTCAATTGTGGACAGCTTTTCCCCGCTCCTGCGTTGAGGTTGAAAAGGGCCATTTCCATATAGGCGTCAAAGGTGAGAAGAGTTTAAAGGTCATAGAAAAGAGTCGGGTCTGCACACCAAAGTAAGTCAAGTGTTTCAAATGTCAGCTGGAAAAAAAAAGAAAAAAGGAAAAGAAAAGGCAAACACTTTGGTTAGAATAGAGTAGGATACTGAATGTAATAAATATTTGTGAGCTATCCATTACTATTTTTCTTTATTTAAGTGAACCGGTAACATTGTAAAAGGTTGAACAAAGAAGTGCGTAAGTATTGTACGACATGTTATTTTTATATTCCTTTTACTGTACAGGCCCTCTAACATAACAATTATTAATTATAGGTATTTCTATAGCGCCGTCTATCTAGAAATTCTATTCCGAGGCGCATTAATTATTACCCCGGCTTTAGCCTAGCTGCCATTACAGCGCTCCAGCATTTCAAGGAATAATTCTTGCTAGGTACCCATTTACCTCACCTGGGTCGAGTGGACATTAGTGCCGTATCGGGGATCGAACCACGACCTTTGAATTTCAAGTCAAGTGCTTAAACCACTCGACTACAACACTTCTACAACATGCAAAAAATCCCGAAAACAATTATTGAACCCCAAAGATATTTATGGTTTTCTTTGAAGGCTTAACAGTACATTCCTACCAGATTCAACCTTTTTCCAAACCGTTTTTCAATGAAAAAAAGAATTAATGCAGGCATTTAATGATCTTGTTCACACTTTAAAGTTTGAAATGGTATATAGATGAAATTCAGTGCTATGTGACGATTTACATTAACCTAATATTAATTTTATGTGAAGTATAATAATATAGTTCGAAGAATTTAGGAATCGATCAGATAATTGTTTCCAATCGTTATCAGTGATAGTGGTCTGTTTTCACTTAAATTGTCAGATTATCTTTGATTGTACATCTAGCACTGAAGTCACTACCTTAGTACCACTTTCTCTTATCTGAACAATGTTACCAAATCCCTTAAATGATAGAACAATCTTTGATTGTATATCTAGCACTGAAGTCACTACCTAAGTACCACTTTCTCTTATCTGAACAATGTTACCAAATCCCTTAAATGATAGAACAACGTTAAAGCAATGCACATTATAAGAATCTACCTAGCAGTGGTATCACAAAAAGCCAGTTTGTAAATACATTATGCGCATGAGCACATAAAGGTCATTTGTCCAAAATTGTAAAACCAAGCGATACGAATACTGGATACGTGCGCATGAAAGATTGAAATGTATGTACTTATTATTCATTAAAGACCGTCAATACTACTTGACCAGAAGGGATTAGACCACACAGCGAGGTCACTGACAGGTGGCTATCTCATTAACTCAGCTCTCAACTAACATAAGAAAAAGAGGATCATGGGGGACCAACAGGCACCGATTGGGGAAATTTTCTTTATAGAGGGAGCAAGTAGCTACAAGTAGGACAGTGGGGCTTTAAGCACCGACAGTACATGTTTTTGTACACAGGTGCATAGAGTTGGACTTCTCTATGGACGTGTAAAAGATCTTTGGATATTTGGGGTCACTTTTACTATGTGCTAACTGTTAGCAAGGCATAATATAAAGGAAGTAGGATAGTCCACATGGCAGGATTAAATATTCAGTATTCACAAAGTACATGCAGGTTCGGATAATTTTGGCCGCCTGTTTGGGTAGTTTCTTCCTGACTATGTGCATTCATTTTTTTTAAATATAAATAATGCAATGTTTTTGTTAAGAGCCAAACCGTGCAAAGGTATGCCTATATACATGTCTATTAAAAAAGCGACGTGCTTTGTACATGCTAAAATATTTCCCCATTAATTCTTAAGCTATATTTAAACACTTTAACGCTTTGTTTCTCATCACATTTGCAAGACATTCCTGGTGGATACTGCGGTCCTTTTAGGGCGCAAATACTAGGGTTTTACCACCCAACACTATAAAATCGGTAAAAGATAAATGACTAAATAAAAATGAAAGTACCTAAAAGTGTTCTATATGAGACACTATATGTGTATGCTTTCATAGAACACACAGCAGGTTTGAAACAGATGATTATACAAATGAAAACAAAACTACCTAATATTGCTCCCTGCTTTCGGGTCGGGAAACATGGTTAAACAGGTGAAAATGAAAGTACCTATTGTGCTCCCTGGGGACGCTACTTCTTTAATGGCAAAGAGCATATAGCACGTAGCTTCTCGTAGCAGCATTCCATGGAGACTCCATCGGAATTCAGAACGCAGCAGTCTCTCTCTGCGTTATTTCTGTTGATCTCAACGCCGAGTCTAAGTAAACAATGAGAATTGAGAAGACATGTATTTCAAAACTCATAACTACAGATTCATATTTGGGAATATTTCCTACTTTTTTCATTAACGTACACTGTAATACACACAAGAGTACTATGATGTTTATTTCTAATTTGTCTATTTTTTATTTTTTATTTCAACAATAATCTGGGTTTAGTTTTTTAGGTCACTAGTGCTTAGTACGGGAATGATGTGTAGGAAATCAGCCGCAGGAAAATTATTGCTGAGCTTGTGTCATTCAACCCCAGACGCAAGTGCACGTAGGCGTGTCACAAATATTACTACTTCTCAGGCGCGTACACAGGGGGTGGGGGGGTTAACCCCCCAAACCCCCCCCCCTTTGGTAATTTTTTGTGTGTAAACCCCCCTAAATTTCTCTAAAACCCCCCCCCCCCCCCCTTTTGGATTTTTTTATTTTTTTATTTTTTATTTAAAAAAAATAAAATAAAAATAAAAAAAATATTCCCATGGTTGACCTAAAAAAGCTGACCTTACCCCCCCCCCCAACGGAGCAAAATGTCAAATTTTCAAATTTCGAGACCAAAAAAAAAAAAAGTGTCCCCCCCCCCCCCCCCCCCCCCCCCCCCCCCCTTGAAAAAATCCTGCGTACGCGCCTGCTACTTCTACTATTAATACTAATACTACTCGTCCTACAACTACTACTATTACTATTAGTACTACTACTACTACTACTACTACACTGTCGCTTATATAGTTGGAATATTTTTGTTTTACCCCAATTTACGGAATTATTTTAAAAATAATTTATTCCTAATAGATTAAGATAATAGTATACATTCTCAGATTTTATTGAATAATAATTTGCCAATAATAATAATAATAATAATAATAATATTAATAATAATAATAATAATAGCCTAATAGTCCACTCCAAACTTTATTAAACCGAAACGGAAATTCTTTTTGCCCAATTGATCGTGAGCCCGGCAGCCACTGACGCGGCCGGGGTTCGAACCCACGACCTCCCAATGTGTGTTTTGCGTGACTGCTAAAGCATGTGTATGCTACTATGCTTATCAACTAGGGGACCTACGCCCTTAAGTCATAAATGACAGTAATGAGGATTAATGCCCCACAAAAGGGCACTAATATAGCACATCGACACGGTTTTGATCCTGGGGCCTCACAGTTACGAGGCCATTGCTTTGTCACTGAACCATGACTGTACGCATCGGGGGACTAGGGTAGGGGGCAGTTTCCATAAATAAAACAAAACCAAAGAAAATGCAATACATTTTCAATAATTTATTGCATGTTACCCCGGTCCCCAACATAAACAAATCCTCTGGACGTCATGCATTATGGCTCAAGGCATGGGCACACAGAGGATTTTGTTATGTTGGGAACCGGGGTATAGTATAGCAAAGCGCAATTCAGGCATCGATTGCAACAACCCCTACCTCCTTCACACACACACACACACACACGGACACTCTCGCGTTCATGTACATGCACATTGCATGGCATAGGCCTATATATGGTTGTCTTTTCTGAACTGAATTGCCAATTTGGGTCATTAGCATTTTGACATGATATAATGTAGTACAGAAGTTGTTTATAAATTGTTCATTTTCACAAAGAGGGATTATTATTAAGCAAGTAATTTATTTCATTTGTCACATCTCTTTAATCAATTTTGTTCATGATACGTTGCTGCCTAAAGCATGTGAAATGCATGCCGATATCTTTCGGATCCATGTCCAATTGAACAAAAAACAATGCTTTACCTTTGTCAATACATTTCCTTTCTAAATTCCTAATTCAGCATCAACAATATGTTTCTCTGGCCTTGTGACTTTTAAGATGAATTAGAAATTTAAAAAGAAAACCTTTTTTGTTGCACCTGCACAGGGTGGTAATTACCTCGAACGTTCTCGCAGGTAAGGGGGTAGTATTTTCTTGAGGAGAATACAAGGCGGCCTCGTCGCAAGTCCATCGTAAGAAGGACGTGTGAATCGCAGGAGTTGGCCTACAACCCGACCGCAGCTGCGGACCTGCACTTGCAAAAAGACTCGCGGCGAGTTGTGACTGTTTTACATTAATACTTACTCCTTTAGGAATGGTGTTTGGATGTTCTCTTCCTCGACCTGGTCATGACAGCCAATCCAGGAACCTGCGCTCAAAAACTTACTGCCAAGAAGTTCTTCGAGTTGGTCGTCTCCATCTATCACTAAGCTTGCCCCGTCCTTGCGGCATTTCTGTTGGGTACATATTGAGCATCGGTTTAACATTCATTCACTTTTATTAATACTCTTTGTACAAGTTATAAATATATATATATATATTTCAAAAGCTAATAGTTATATTTCTTATTAGCGGCATATTTCTTTGTAATGATACTTGTTTGTTATGACATCTTGTATTATATATTTTATCAAGATTTTTTTCGGGGTTGCAAACGTGTAAGAGTTCTTAAAATATTTCTTTTCTCAGATATGTATTCTTTTATAAATGAATACAAATCTTAATTTTGTTGTTGATTGATGCATATTTCATTATGATTTTAAATTTATCATAAAATGACCCAAAATTAGAGAAACTTGTCTAAACTTTTGGAGTATTGCAACCTCAACTACATCCTCGATGGACAGTCACCTTAGACGTATCTATGCATTTCACGTATTTGCAGGGTTCGTAACTTATAAACCCTTGGTCATAATCTCTGGAGTTGAAACTAGCTAGGGAAGACTTTGACCCTACATTCATCAACGCTTCTAGTATAACGGGAGCTCTTTGTCTGTGCACCTCAAATTTGACTTGAAATTATACAGGATTTTCTTTTATATTCATGTATAATGCTGGATTTGATACAATTCAACATTTTCTAAAGACTTAAAGTGTGCCAAAGGTTCTGTCATTATTTAAGTAAGAACAATTTCATTTTCACAAGAAAAGGCAGTGTGACCATTCTGACATTCCAAAAAGACAGGTTCCCTTGTCAGACCACTCGTTATTTCGAGCGCAATTGTCACGTGAATTTCGAGGATTTGAAATGAAAATGTCTTCAATTATAATTTTCACGATAGACTTTAATGTTTTTTTCACGGATACTTAAAGCTTCAATAGAAATTAAAAACTTTCGTTCGGTACCTAGTTTTGTCTTCTTCTTGATCTTCTACTATGTTTACGTGTGGCGCACACAAAGTACCTGCTTCGAAGACACGGACACTTTAGCTATTTTATATCATTAATTACTTCAACAGAAACTAAGTCTCGTTCAGATATGGCACTGCAAAGCCGCTGCAGTTTTTGTTAATGATGACGTAAGGTGGGATTCATTTCGTATTTTTGTATCGAATTATATCACAGAGCTCAGTTAACACGCGCAGGACTTGGTTTACTGACTGTATATTAGGGCCCGACAGTGCCTTAAAAGGACGTCACATTGCCTTAAAAGGACGTCACATTGCCTTAAAAGGACGTCACATTGCCTTAAAAGGACGTCACATTGCCTTAAAAGGACGTCACATTGCCTTAAAAGGACGTCACATTGCCTTAAAAGACGTCGCATTACCTTAAAAGGACGTCACATTGCCTTAAAAGGATGTCACACATAGAGGTCCACGTTCTCGTCGCGTAAATCTAAAAGTTCCTATCATCTCACCTTCTCACTGGCTTCCCAGGTATCGGGTGTCTGGAGTAGACGGACACAGATATCACCGCTCTGTATGTAATGTTGTGGGCATCCTGGGAGGCAGCAAGATAGAGGGAAATATGTAATCATTTATCCAGTATTACTTTTTGTGTTTGTTTATTTTGTGTCATCTAATTATTTTCGTTCTTTCCTTATTCATTTATTTAATTATTTTACATGATTATTCAGAGGGGTGTGTTAATTACTTCAAAACTGATCCACCACAAAGACATGATTAGATAAAAGCTTACATATAAACTATCGAAAGGTCTATGCCTGAATTGAAGTAATCAGAGAAAATTCAGAAAATATTCGAAATGACAGGACAGAATATGATTGTAACATTATTATAAACACAACATAAATACACAAATGATAATAATGTATGTCAATCAGCATGTTACCACAATATTTTAAGATATGAAGGTCAACATTCTATTTCAAGAGACCTCTAAATCTGAGAATTAAATAAAAGTTAGAGAAAAGAAGAGAAGAACGATGGTAATAATGCAAACGCTACAACCAAACAGATGTTATAAAAGAGATGTTTTACGTCACAAATATGAAAATTTGTAGATTTTTTTGGTACAAATAATATGACTGTTGCTAACTATTCACTTAAGTTCTGAAGTCAAACTCGCTTATTTGCTTACGATTCAGTTCACATACTGCAGGAAGTTTATCGTGGCAACACTCTTTTCCCCATCCGCCAGACCCTATGTTCACACATCGATCACTGTCTGAAGATCTGCCAGGAAGTTTAGAGAAAGTCGACCTGGAATAGAAGAAAAAAAATCATTCAGCTTAGCTAAGTTGACGTCAGGTCACATCAGGCCATGTTAATTCAGTCAGTTCAGCCTCAGTTCAGTCAGTTCAGCCTCAGTTCAGTCAGTCCAACCTCAGTTCAGTCAGTTCAGTTGAGGTCAGTATAGGCTCATTTGAGGTATATTTAAAAGGTTAAGGTCAGTTCAGGGCAGTGCAGGTCAGTTTAAATTTAGTAGGTTGAGGTCAATTGAGGTTACTTTAGTTCACATAAATTCAGTCATTCCCGGTCAGTTCAGTACAGTCATAATTTCTTTTCACTTTTATTCAGTTCAGTACAGCAAACATAAAATGTGCATGAAAGTTTTGAGTACAGACTTACTTACAAGATTTTTGTTACAAGGTTATACGATGTAATGTATATAAAGAGCATAAGTTCCTAAGTGGGAAGACCTGATAAAGGCTACGCTTGTACTTTGATCCTCAGAATACCCCCACATACAAGTAAGGTTGATCGTAGACCTAAGCCTAAGGTCAAACAACCCTTAATCCACGCCAAGGGCTTAAACGTGATCCCACCTCTGATCCCAACCCCAAAGGTTGATCGTAGACCTAAGCCTAAGGTCAAACAACCCTTAATCCACGCCAAGGGCTTAAACGTGATCCCTCCTCTGATCTCAACCCCAAAGTTTGATCGTAGACCTAAGCCTAAGGTCAAACAACCCTTAATCCACGCCAAGGGCTTAAACGTGATCCCACCTCTGATCCCAACCCCAAAGGTTGATCGTAGACCTAAGCCTAAGGTCAAACAACCCTTAATCCACGCCAAGGGCTTAAACGTGATCCCACCTCTGATCCCAACCCCAAAGGTTGATCGTAGACCTAAGCCTAAGGTCAAACAACCCTTAATCCACGCCAAGGGCTTAAACGTGATCCTACCCCTGATCCCTACCCCAAAGGTTGATCGTAGACCTAAGCCTAAGGTCAAACAACCCTTAATCCACGCCAAGGGCTTAAACGTGATCCTACCCCTGATCCCAATCCCAAACCTCACCCCAGGCATTTTCTTTATTATGTCACTTACCATGCCCCCTATTCCTTTAACTCCGAACCTAATGCGCTCGTATGGTTAAAGGGAAAAAAAGCCTTCATACTAAGTTACTTTTATTGTTAAGTTCAAGATATTTGAATAAAATCAGTGAAAATTTGAACAAAATCGGGCAAGGAATAAGGAAGTTAAAGCTTTTTTAAATGACTGGTCACTAGAGGGCGATATTCAATTTTATGACATCATCTGTGGACAACTCTCCATGCCTTTTGTACATCAAATTTCATGTTTATCCTTCTTTCTTATGATAATCTATTCCCTGAAAGCAAGGTATAGAATGCAAAATGATATTCTACTTCACATGTTATGAAGTCGGATCAAGAATACAAATAAATACGAAGAAAACGAAAGATTTGTGAAATTTGATGTACAGAGCTTTTGAAATTTACAGGATTTCCTGCAGATACGCTGATAAACTAACATGAAAGTAATATTTAAGTAACAATTCAATGCAAATAAGTAGCGCAAAGATTAAACATCAGTACATGGTGCGGTGAATTTTTAATTTGCCCTTTTTATAAGATAAGAAGCATTTATAGGTCTCTTGTAAACTCACAAGAAATTTGTACTGGACAATTTTTTGTTCTAAAAAAAGAAGAACACATAAAATGCTTAAACTGGTTTCATAATTGAGAGCAATATTACATGAAGGAAAACAATACACAAAGAAGAACAACTAATAATTTACTGTATAACCCAAATTTTCTTTGAGTTGCAATGACATTTTAACAGAGAGAAGGGATGGTATTTAAATTATCTCATTCATATCTTGTTATTTTTATGATAATGATAATTATTATTATTATTATTATTATTAACATCGTTATCATCAAAAACATCATTATTATTTATTTGTATTACTATTATTATCATCATCATCATTATTATAAATATTATTATTATCATTTTTATTATCATCATTATTATTATTATTATTATTATTATTATTATTATTATTATTATTATTATTATCATTATTATCATTGTTATCACTATTGTTAACTTATCATTAATATTAATACTAATATCATTACCATTACTTCCATTATTATTATTATCATAACTATTATTGTTATTGTTATTATCATTATTATTGTCATTATCACCATCATTAGTTTAAATCGTTTATTGTTATCATCACTATAATTCTCATCATTATCACTACTATGATTGTTATTGTTATTATCATTATTATTATTATAATTATCTTATTATTATTTTCATCAAATGAGATGGAATCAAATCGAATCATATCAAACTTACGTGAGAAGTTCAGTGGTTTGATAGTTACTACTCGAGATGAGATTGTGTAGGTTAAACCATGCTGGCTTGCCGTTGGCTGGCGATTCAGATTTGTAGAATGCAAGCAGAGCTTCATTTTGTGCTTCGTTCAGAGATAGGGCTAGGCGACCTTTGAGCCTTCTGCATTCCTTCAAATTTAGTGGAAAATGCGTGGTTATTATTATTTATTAACCCTACAACTACTGCAACTACTACTACTACTACTACTACTACTACTACTGCAACTAATACTACTACTGCAACTACTGCTACTACTACTGCAACTACCACTACTACTACTACTACTACTACTGTAACTACTACTACTACCACTACTACTACTACTACTACTGCAACTACTACTTCTAACACTACTACTACTACTACTGCAACTACTACTACTACTACTACTACTACTACTGCAACTACTACTACCACTACTACAAATACTACTACTACTGCAACTACTACTACTACTACTACTACTACCGCTACTACTACTACTACTACTACTGCAACTACTACTACCACTACTACTACTACTACTACTACCACTATTTAAAGGTATTAAAAGGTACTCATGAACTATACCTCCTCCTCGTTTTAATGATTTGTGGATACTTGAGATTAGTTTAACAAGTGCTGCCTCTGAAGTGGTCCTATGTAAACCTTCATTTGTCCACATTGTGGTCTTGTCACAAGAGAAACCATGATTCTAGATTATCGCTGTCAGTAAGATGTCCTTCAAATATGCCTTTCCAGTGGACATGCACAGAGCGATCAAAATGCCTTTACCTAATTTGCCGAACCTTCATCTAGCTGGCTATCATATGGCGAATACTACTACCAAATAAAAGAATAATTTTGATGCACCATGTTTAATATGACTATTAAACCGAAACCAAGTTGGCCAGACTCTGTAAATAGATCGCTGTGGTCATGTGCAAACATTTTATTGTTGAGTGAATATTAGAGGTCAAAGGTCAAACTTACATGGCATTGGGCTTCAAAGGAATCCGGATTGGTTATAAACCTCAGGCAACGATCTTGGAAGAAGATGTACCCGCTAACATCATCGCACTCTTATGTCACAAACAAGAGAACAAACAAAGAAATTCAGCATGAATTTACAATTGACAACTTCCTAATGTCATTGCATTTTGCCCCGATCCCCTACATTATGTGGGCATGCCTTGAACCATAATGCATGGGCTTTTTCTAGCTGTTGGGTACCGGGGGAAAGTGCAATGAATTATTGATCATTTATTGCATTTTCTTTGTTTTTTGTATTTGTGGGGGCGGCGACGTACAGTGAGTGAGCTGAATGAGAAATGACGCTACAAACCTTCAAATACTCTAGATGCAGATATGGGAGGGAGGAAAGTGACTAAGCTGAATGGGAAATGACGCTACAAACCTTCAAATACTCTAGATGCAGATATGGGAGGGAGGAAAGTGACTAAGCTGAATGGGAAATGACGCTACAAACCTTCAAATACTCTAGATGCAGATATGGGAGGTAGGAAAATGAGTGAGCTGAATGGGAAATGACGCTACAAACCTTCAAATACTCTAGATGCAGGTATGGGAGGGAGGAAAGTGAGTGAGCTGAATGGGAAATGACGCTACAAACCTTCAAATACTCTAGATGCAGATATGGGAGGGAGGAAAGTGACTAAGCTAAATGGGAAATGACGCTACAAACCTTCAAATACTCTAGATGCAGATATGGGAGGGAGGAAAGGGAGTGAGCTGAATGGGAAATGACGCTACAAACCTTCAAATACTCTAGATGCAGATATGGGAGGGAGGAAAGTGACTAAGCTAAATGGGAAATGACGCTACAAACCTTCAAATACTCTAGATGCAGATATGGGAGGGAGGAAAGGGAGTGAGCTGAATGGGAAATGACGCTACAAACCTTAAAATACTCTAGATGCAGATATGGGAGGGAGGAAAGTGACTGAGCTGAATGGGAAATGACGCTACAAACCTTCAAATACTCTAGATGCAGATATGGGAGGTAGGAAAATGAGTGAGCTGAATGGGAAATGACGCTACAAACCTTCAAATACTCTAGATGCAGATATGGAAGGGAGGAAAGTGACTAAGCTGAATGGGAAATGACGCTACAAACCTTCAAATACTCTAGATGCAGATATGGGAGGGAGGAAAGTGACTGAGCTGAATGGGAAATGACGCTACAAACCTTCAAATACTCTCGATGCAGATATGGGAGGGAGGAAAGTGACTAAGCTGAATGGGAAATGACGCTACAAACCTTCAAATACTCTAGATGCAGATATGGGAGGGAGGAAAGTGACCGAGCTGAATGGGAAATGACGCTACAAACCTTCAAATACTCTAGATGCAGATATGGGAGGGAGGAAAGTGACTGAGCTGAATGGGAAATGACGCTACAAATCTTCAAATACTCTCGATGCAGATATGGGAGGGAGGAAAGTGACTAAGCTGAATGGGAAATGACGCTACAAACCTTCAAATACTCTAGATGCAGATATGGGAGGGAGGAAAGTGACTAAGCTGAATGACACTAATAGTATGCACTTTGCCCGCTATTCGGGCACAAATCATCAAAATTATCAATTTTAACTTTTCTCCCATAGCTCTTTCCATCTTTTGCATGTCGGCGCCCTATGTCACCCCAACCCCTCTGTCATCCCCACCCCCCTGTCACCCCACCCCCTATGTAGATACACAATTGAGAACATCCATACCGGGATCGCCGATGGGCCCAATTTCACAAATAGCAGGATGGCGGGTGTAACAACATTCGTTGGTCCATTTGCCGTTCTGCGCACTTACAGACACACAGTCGGGTCCTTGTCCTTTGCCACTTGCTCGTTCTGGCTTCTTGTTCTTAAAGTAAGTGAAGGAAAGCCTGGACAACAAAAATAATACAATGATTACAGAACTCTCTGTAAAAGAAGTTTTTTTTTTTTAAACTACCCTGTATGAAGAACAAAAACTAAATAAATAAGTAAATAAATCGATGAACATTTTGTTTAATGAATGCATAAAAAAGTTGTCTGAATAGCTGAATAAATTTAAACATGAATTAGAATACATTTTTTTTTTTAAATACCTCTCTACAGTATTTTGAATAAAATTAGTCATCTAATTGGTCAAAATTGGAGTCATGATTTTAGTCAGGCTCACAAAGAAACGAACCATGCCCGTTGCCCTGGCGAAAGGGGATAGTCAATTAAAAATATGCCCGTTGCCCCGGGTATAGTTAAATTTGCTGAGATCCCCATTGGTTTACGTGAAAAAAGTTTCTTTATGCGAGCGCGGATACCATACAGTGTGTGTACGATTCCCAAATGATCTTAAAATTCAGGCAACTTTCCATCGAAGATTAACATACAGTGTCTCAGATTATTTGTGATGTTTGAACCAATCTTTACTTAAGAAGAGGATAATAAGGCAAGTATATTTTGTAGACTATATTGTGAATTTGGTATATAAAAGTTAAATAGACTACTGACTCTCGGGGCGTTACATCCTGCTAAGAACCCTTGGCGCACCGAGGGGGGATTGGGGTGGACATTGGGGTGGTGGACATTAATGCACCAAATGTGGTTCTCAAATGAAGTGCCTGAAAATGCGCCTAATGTGGTTCTAAAATTGCAAATGCTTCCTACTCAGGGAGGGGGTTCTGAACGTATCATTTTAAAGAGTAACTAATATAATAATAATAATAATATTTTAAAGTCCACTCCAAATTGTAATTGAATTAAAGCGAAAATGAAAATTCTTTTTGCCAAATTGATCGTGAGCCCGGCAGCCACTGAGCAGCGCCAGATCGACGTTGCTCTATCCCCTATTGTTGAACGCCAAACAAGGTAGCAGCAACTCCCGTCTTTTAACGTCTTTTGGTGTGACGCGGCCGGGGTTCGAACCCACGACGTCCCGGTTGTGAGGCGGACGCTCTACTGACTGAGCCAACACCCCGTCTAATGATACCTTATTCATACCTCTGCGGTCCAAGATGACAATACATTTTTTCTTCTTCAAACATTATTTCACCAAGTTATGTCCGTCCAGTAAGAATTGCTGATTTATGTATATTAACTTTTGTCCATTTTCAATAGAAAAGGTGTCAATGTCAACTCAGACTGAAGATTGGTAATGATATTCCGGTCAATCGAATCACAACATTTAATTTCGACGATATGTCTGGGGACAAAGCCACTGGCGATGACCTCATTTCTTGTCGCCTTCTAAAAATGACGAAATAGGTGATTGCAGAATCGTTGACCGATATCACAAACAAACCTTTGACCACGAGACGTGTACCCAAATGGCTGGAAAGCAGCTCGAGTAATTCTAATTTTTAAAAGCTGGTGATATGTCTGATCAAAGCAATTACCGCCCAATTTATATTTTGTCTGTTGTTAGCAAAATCATAGAGAGGGCTGTACATCACCAACTTTATGAGTTCATTAACGATAATATTATCTTGAATTAATCAATCTGGGTTTCGAGCGAAGTATTCTACAACAGCACTCAGGAAGTTATTTATCTTGGAACATTGAAAACATAAAGATCTCTGATGTCGCTTTTATCGACCTTCGTAAGGCATTTGACACCGTTGATCACAATCTTGTATGAACAAAATTAACTACTATTGGATGTTCTCATGAATGTGTGAAATGGTTTAGATCCTACTTAACACGCCATAAACAGACTGTTCATTTTAATAGTGCTAAATCTAATCAATTAACAGTATTGATGGGCGTATACCACGGGGATCTATATTGGGTCCTTTATTATTTTTCAATCTATGTGAATACTTTACCAAGTTTTATATATGGTGGTAATGGGGATATGTATGCAGACGATTCCACTTTAATCGTAAATGGAAGCAGTGTAGCTTTGCACTGCAAGCATTATTGGTTTGGGATAATCAACTAAACACAAACAAAACATGGTCATGGTGATAGCTCCGCGTGCAAATTTAAACAAAATAACAACCTTCAACGTTTCTATAAATCGAAAGGTACTGATAAGAGTAAGCGTCGTCAACTTTCTTGGTACAATAATTGGTGAAGAATTGAATTGGCCCAAACACGTTGACAAAGTAACAAAAGTAATGCACAGAAACACCATCCTTTCAAAACGAGCTATTAAGGACTGTTTACCAATAACTTCTTTAAAGTTGTTGTATAATGCACTCGTATCGCCTAACTTTGCTTATTGTTACTATGTGTTGTCAAATAGGTATCGGGAACAAACGGATAAACTCAAGAAGTTCAAAATCGATCTGCTATGATAATTTCAAACAGAAGTTACGAGACTCCATCAAGTGAATTGATTAGCAATCTAAAATGAATGCCAATTGAGAAACGTCTTTAATTTCAGCGTGTAAATATGATGTACATGCAAACATAATTTGGCGCCATCCTATTTACAAGAAAGGTTTATTAAAGTAAGTGACATTCATCGGTATAATACGGGGCACGCAGTTGAAGGTTTTCTTTCTGTGCCAAAGTAGACAACAGAATGTTTTTTAAACATAGCCCCCTCGTTTCTTCAATTATAGCATGGAATCAGTTGGACAGATCATTGAAAATTACAAGCCTTTAATACATGTCTAAACAGTCTTGCAATATCGATTCCCATTAAGATAAAATGACAAAAGGAATTTTGTTTAGTGTCTTAACACAAGTTTTACTTTGATTCCTTTTTTTTAATTTTTTTTTTTTTTAGCTTTCTAGCACATTTCTCTTGTAAAAATCAAACGATTGGTTAATGATGCGCTTGCAGAACAACATGATAAAATTTGGTTTTCATATACATCCTCATTGCTAGGAAAATGTCACTTGATGCTTTTTATCAAAAATTAAAAAAAGTTAATTGAGATGCTAGCTGTATCTCTTTTTAATGGAAATCCTCTGTCATTATATTTGGTAGGTATGAACATGTGTTCTTTCTTGCATTTCCTAAATCAATGAGGGTGGTCAACCTCAATCTCATTATGCGTATGAAATGGTGCAACAGAGACCTTATATATCGTGAGACAAGAAGTTGGTGGGCTAAAGATAATTTAAGGTTATCCTGTTGACTTATACAAGACAAGAAGTTGGTGGGCTAAAGATAATTTAAGGTTATCCTGTTGACTTATACAAGACAAGAAGTTGGTGGAATAAAGATAATTTAAGGTTATCCTGCTGACTTATACAAGACAAGAAGTTGGTGGGCTAAAGATAATTTAAGGTTATCCTGCTGACTTATACAAGACAAGAAGTTGGCGGGCTAAAGATAATTTAAGGTTATCCTGTTGACTTATACAAGACAAGAAGTTGGTGGGCTAAAGATAATTTAAGGTTATCCTGCTGACTTATACAAGACAAGAAGTTGGTGGGCTAACGATAATTTAAGGTTATCCTGCTGACTTATACAAGACAAGAAGTTGGTGGGCTAAAGATAATTTACGGTTATCCTGTTGACTTATACAAGACAAGAAGTTGGTGGGCTAAAGATAATTTAAGGTTATCCTGCTGACTTATACAAGACAAGAAGTTGGATGGCTAAAGATAATTTAAGGTTATCCTGTTGACTTATACAAGACAAGAAGTTGGTGGGCTAAAGATAATTTAAGGTTATCCTGTTGACTTATACAAGACAATTAGTTGGTGGGCTAAAGATAATTTAAGGTTATCCTGTTGACTTATACATAACAATTAGTTGGTGGGCTAAAGATAATTTAAGGTTATCCTGTTGACTTATACAAGACAATTAGTTGGTGGGCTAAAGATAATTTAAGGTTATCCTGTTGACTTATACATAACAATTAGTTGGTGGGCTAAAGATAATTTAAGGTTATCCTGCTGACTTATACAAGACAAGAAGTTGGTGGGCTAAAGATAATTTAAGGTTATCCTGTTGACTTATACAAGACAAGAAGTTGGTGGGCTAAAGATAATTTAAGGTTATCCTGTTGACTTATACAAGACAAGAAGTTGGTGGGCTAAAGATAATTTAAGGTTATCCTGCTGACTTATACAAGACAAGAAGTTGGATGGCTAAAGATAATTTAAGGTTATCCTGTTGACTTATACAAGACAAGAAGTTGGTGGGCTAAAGATAATTTAAGGTTATCCTGTTGACTTATACAAGACAATTAGTTGGTGGGCTAAAGATAATTTAAGGTTATCCTGTTGACTTATACATAACAATTAGTTGGTGGGCTAAAGATAATTTAAGGTTACCCTGTTGACTTATACAAGACAATTAGTTGGTGGGCTAAAGATAATTTAAGGTTATCCTGTTGACTTATACATAACAATTAGTTGGTGGGCTAAAGATAATTTAAGGTTATCCTGCTGACTTATACAAGACAAGAAGTTGGTGGGCTAAAGATAATTTAAGGTTATCCTGTTGACTTATACAAGACAAGAAGTTGGTGGGCTAAAGATAATTTAAGGTTATCATGTTGAGTTATACAAGACAAGAAGTTAGTGGGCTACAAGACAAGAAGTTGGTGGGCTAAACATAATTTAAGGTTATAACAAGGTCCTGTGAAAGCTTAGATACACATGATTCGCTTAGGCATGAATCTGAATTCAACATTTAAAATGATTTAAGAACAAAGTAACACGTGTATAATCATCCTTGACCCATTACAATCAGTGCATCATCCTGCACAAGGGCAATTAGACGGCACTGTTTAAAAACCAGTTTGCTCAGTCACCCGTTGCGAAAATTATGAATAGGGTAACGTTAGATAGAATACAAGTTACACTGTACATGTTTTACAAACCTGTTTAACTCAAAGTCAGTAAAGACATTGCTGACAACAAGACATTGGGGTCCAATCCACACGTCGTTTCTGAGGTTCTCTGTGTGATATCTTTGTAGAACTTCGGCTTTGTCTTCGGAGCGAGGTATTGCAAGTTGTCCCTTCTTGGCCTTGCATTTCTAGAAGGTAATGTTTGAATCTGATATTATTACCAAAAACTATATGTGGATAAAAGGGTTAAGCTTATAAAGCGTTTGGGGAGCTGCGAATTATATGTTTACTAGAAGAATGCTGAGGATGCCGTTGACAGATAGAGTGAGTAATGAGCAGAAGAGAGAGATGATATGTAAGAGATGGATTCAGCAAATGAGATTAATGGGATATCCGATACGAAAAGGAGGTTTGGGGAATGCTCAATTTCAATCTCAAATTTTGCCCTGAGCCAATCAAATGCCACGATTTCAGTAGCTACTAAGAGTTATTGATGACAACTTTTATTAAAACAGGGCCCTCACATTGATATCAAGGATGGGGGAAGAGGCGGGTAGTGGAAGGAGTGTAAGTGGAGTCAGCAAAGATGGGGCAATTAGGATCGAGAGAGGAATGAAAGGCCAGGGAATGAAGCTGTTGGCAATGCAAGAAACAAGGAGTTATAACGCAAATAGGTAAAGAGAGATATATCTATATATATATATATATAGAGAGAGAGATAGACCAATAACTTACAGCGCTCATATATACAACAATTTTAACTCACTAACGGAATTTCTTGCATTTCTAGCTTATGTATGAAATAAATTTGTTCAAAAAGAAAGACATTACCAACAAATAAACAATGAAATAACAACATGCAAACAAACAAAAATAAAATAACTTTTTATCAACAACAACAAAATAAATTAACTTTTTATTAACAATAACAATCAGTCAGAGTATCTTAGTATGACGGAATCACCTCACACACTGAATTGCTTACGCTATTACTATGTTTAATATACAGACAACTAAAAATAAGAGAGCGTTTTTGTATGAATCAATAAAGGTTATTGACTAGATTTCATAAATGTCGAGAAAAGAGCTATGTTTAAACAAGTTCAGATTGTTTCGAATTTACGATTACTCAATCATAGGCTCATTCACATACCACTGAACATTCAACAACCTTTGTGCACGGTAAATTCGATACAAGAATTGGTTGAGCCTCGTACAGACATGACGCGGCAAAACCACGGCGGTTTTGTATGATTACATAACGTGTAATACGTTTCACATTTAGTTTCTGTATCTTATATCACATCAGAGCTCAGTGAATACACGCGGGACCTTTGTTGTGCGCAATTGCCATACATGTACAGAAACCGCGTCATTTTGTAACAAGCCTTTAAGCTGCCCATCACTCTTCCTTTAAGCCCCTTCCACACCGGGCCATGCGTAGAGTTGCGAAGTGTTGCGTACCGACTACGCCGAGCGTACGCTGCCCTACGTGGCCTACGTAACTATACGCGGCTGGACGCAAAGGGGAACGCGAGATGGACGCACACAATTAAACATGTAAGCAAGAACCTCAGTAAGCGACTTCGTTGAAATAAAACATTGCACGGGACAGTTTGCATCATTCGGGTCGTAATTTGATGCTATTGATATCCATGGCCCTGTCCTATAACAGAGATGCGATTGATTACAAGTGACTTTCAATTCATATCGATCGCAAATCTTTAGTACACACGGTTGACATCAATTTATTGTAATGTATCGCTAATTCTCTTTCGAAGCAGGACCCAGAGCATTCAATTAATATATGCATGTTTATTCAATTTTCATATAACAATTTCTTCGTGTACAGAGCATCATTATTTCTTCTACTTTTGTGTATTTTCTTGAACTCCAAGCGGAAATCTAGCCTTTCTTAAAGTGCATGTTCATAATACATATATTTATATAACACCAAAGACAAGGAAGAAGAAAAGTTTTATCATACAGTTTTCATGTTCCCCTTTCCCGCGTGGTGTGTAAATGAAATATTAAACCAAGCCTCCCCTTTCCCGCGTGGTCTGTAAACGAAATATTAAACCAAGCCTCCCCTTTCCCGCATCGTGTGTAAACGAAACATTAAACCAAGCCTCCCCTTTCCCGCATCGTGTGTAAACGAAACATTAAACCAAGCCTCCCCTTTCCCGCATCGTGTGTAAACGAAACATTAAACCAAGCCTCCCCTTTCCCGCACGTGTGTAAACGAAACATTAAACCAAGCCTCCCCTTTCCCGCATCGTGTGTAAACGAAACATTAAACCAAGCTTCCCCTTTCCCGCACGTGTGTAAACGAAATATTAAACCAAGCCTCCCCTTTCCCGCATCGTGTGTAAACGAAAAAAAAAAATTTGGATTTTATTTCATTTCTGCATTTTTCCACATAAAATATAACTGAATAACAAAGAACATATAAATGTAAGGTATAATACAACATAAATAAACAATAATTTCTTCATGTCAAAATGTTTTTTTTACATAATATATGTACACATAATAACGAAACCTAATATTTCCATAACATATAATCATAAATTTAAAGTATTAACCGAACTATTCTGTTGGAAAAGTGCAGGAGACCGCAATCATAAGCAAAGCTTGACAAGGATGGCGGCCTAAAAAAAAAAAACAACAAAAAAATATTAAGGTAAACCTTAAAATGAAAAAGTGTTTAAACGACCTTTGTGTATGAGTTGGTGAGGGTGTTGTGCAAATGTATATGTATATATATATATATATATATATATGTATTGTGTGTGTGTGTGTGTGTACGCGTTTGCGTGCGTGTGTGTGTGTGTGTGCATGTGTACGCGAGCGTGCGTGGTTGTATGTGTTTGTAACGAATATATGAAAGTGCACGTAGCTCTGTGTGGTATAGAGGAGTGGAAACCATTAAACCAAGCCTCCCCTTACCCGCATCGTGTGTAAACGAAACATTAAAGGGATTGTTTAACAATGTTAAATCTGAGATACACGGTCCTACATGTTACCAGTGTCTGTGATATGGTGTAATATTGAAGCCCTAAAAAAATCGCGCTTCAAAATGATCAAGAAGTGCAAAAAAAAGTAAAAATCTTTGAGTGACAGGTTTTACCATACTCGTTTTCCCCAATAGACTAGTGTTATGAAAACCGTTCGGCGAACGGTTTTCGAAATTTGTAATTCCAATCATTAATATATTGATAATCAGACAGGCGATCGGCTTGCAAAAGTCATGGAGTACCTGACTGACCTAAAGGTTTATAATTATCATTGCAGCATGAGCTAAATCAAGGATTATTTCTAAAGGATCTAAGACAAAGTTACCGGATCCCTTTAAACCAAGCCTCCCCTTTCCCGCGTTGGTGTAAACGACTTACCCGTGCCTGTACTTCCCATATGTCGGCCTTGCTTATTATGAGGAAGCAATATTTCCCTTCAAAAAGTTCAAAGCCTCTTGGACATCTGAGGGGAGTTCCTTGGGTTGAACTTCTTTCCGCTATAGGGATGCGCAATAGAAAATAAAATGAAAAGAATATGACTCGTCAATTCTCTCCCCATATTTATAATATCACCAAAGTCAACGAAGGTCCGCGTATTACAACAGTTAGACTTTCTGTAGATAAGTACAAATATTTGGTTTTAAAGGTAGTTTAAGTCCAACTCCTGCGCTTCCTATTACACTGTAGCTAAGGAGCAACTATGAAATATTAGGCTGAATTCTCAGGGATCTGCCCGAATACAGGAATATAAATTGTGTACCATGAAAACACAGAGTAACACAACGAAAGACGGAAAACAAAAACGATAAGAACGCAGAGTAGCATAGCGAAAGACAGAAAGTGAAAAATGGTAAAAGTATATTAACAAAGAGTAACATAACGAATGTTAGAAAGGGAAAATGATAGGACGGTATATATAAGGAATATATCAGGGAAGGAAAAAAGAGAGGATATCAACACAAAGTAACAGAACGAAAGACAGAAAGCAAAAACGATAACAACACAGAGTAACATAGCAAAAGACAGAAAGTGAACATAATAAAAATATAACAACACAGAAGAACTTAACGAAATACAGGAATAATAGTGATAAAAGGGTAACGAAACAGAATAACATAAGGAAAGGTAGAAAGCAAAACTGATGAATTCATAACAACACAGAGTAACATAAATAAATGTAGAATTAAAAAATGATTAAAAGATACCAACAGAGAACGACATATGTGAATGGGACCTTGGCTTTTAACACAATACATACCTGTGCAAGTGGGTGCATCATTAGACCACTGTCCAGTGCTTGCGCCGACGTTTACTGTACAGACGGTCTCAAGTTCACCAGAGAGTAGGATGTTGCCGGGTATGCAGGAATAGGTAAAAACCTCGTCACGATCCCTTGGTCCACTAGGCACTGCTTCTGTATTAGTTCCTTCTTCAGGCTTATCACAAGTGATCGCTGTATTGGGTAAAGAATAATGTGGAGGGCTCATGTAGTTCAGCAGTTCAATAAAGATACACAATAGAAAATAAAATTAAAAGAATATGCCTCATCAATTCTTTCCTTAAAATTTATCATCTCACCATACTGAACGAATGCCCGCGTATTACAACAATTAGCTTTTCTGAGGATAAGTACAACTACATGTATGTGGCTATAAAAGCACTTTAAGTCCAATCCTTGCCATGCCTATTCAGGCGCGTACGCAATGGGATGGGGGGGGGGTGAACCCTCCCCTCCATTTTGTTTGTATGTGTGCGAAATTTTCGGCGGGATTTAAAAATGTTAACCCCCCCCCCCACACCCTTGAAAAAATCCTGCGTACGCCACTGTGCCTATTACACTTTAAGTAAGAAGTAACTATGAAATATTAGGCTGAATTCTCAGGGATCTGCCCAAACACATAAATAATTTTGCACCATGAACACGGTTAAAAAATATGCTACATGTACAGGTCCTTCCACGCAAAGGAATGAATCGACAAAAGAGGATTGAACCAACGTTCATTTTTTTCTTTACGTCACTACAGGATTCATTTGTGAACCATGACAAGATAGCCGAAATACAAAATTTCAATTCGAAATGAATACACATGGGGGGAAATAGAATCACTATGTCTTCCCCATTGGACGGACCTCCCGAACAACAGAGTAAAATAGCGAAAGACAGAAAGTGAACAAATCATGAAAGGATACCTACACAGAGTAACGCAACGAAAGTTAGAAAGGGACAATGATAGCATGTTATATATAAAGAATATATCAGGGAAGGAAAAAAAGAGAGGATATCAACATAGAGTAACACAACGAAAGACAGAAAGCAAAAAGGATAACAACACAGAGTAACATAGCGAAAGACAGAAAGCGAAAGTGATAAAAGGATAACAATACAGAACAACTTAACGAAATACAGGAAGAATAATGATAAAAGGGTAACGAAACAGAATAACATAAGGAAAGGTAGAAATCCAAACTTTTGAATTGATAAATACACAGAATAACATAAAGAAAGGTGTGGTATGTGGGCAGAAGGTGGAGAGAGGATGATTGGGTTCAGATACACTTACCAGTGCAGGACTTTCCATTGCCTACAAATCCGTCATTGCATTCACACTCATAACCTCCTTCCGTGTTGTCACATTGTGCGTTAGGATCGCAGGAGTCCTTTCCGGACGTGCACTCATCGATGTCTGAAAATAATAATGATAATAATATTACTACGTCTACTACTAATACTCAGACGCGCTGGAGGCAGTTTAAGAATTGGAGGGGGGGGGGGGGGGAGATGGGCAAACATTCCAGAGGCTCACCCTTCAGGAGGATTGGTGTAATGAGCATAAACGTTTAGGGGGGAAGAAAAAGATGCATCACCATCACTTCTACATGTAACATGCAGGTCGAGCGGAACGTTTTTCAAAGCGGAGTATTAGGGACTTTTAGATTTGCACGTTGACAGCTTTGACTGCAACGTGTGACGTCATTTTAAGGCACTGCGCATGCTTCACGTCGTCTCAGTCGGCGATCGAGAATGCGTCAACCTTGATTTTCCTAAATCTAGTACCGGTACTAGTATATGCCGCGTGCGCATAAAATATACAGTTCCTCAGGTAGACAAAGGAACATCCCTTCCCTGCTATTATGTAAAGAAGTGTAGAACAGGTGTCACATGCATATTCACCTGTTTACAAATAGCAGTGGAGGGATGTTTTACCACAGCAATAGGCCATTTTCGCAATGTAACCAAATTTAATGCATAAGTCTTTGTGTAGTGCCTCAATACAAATTATTTCATTCACTTGATAAGAATAATAGTATTTCAATAGATAGAATCCGAACTGCATACATAAGTTGTTGCAAGGTTGGACAAACATGATGGCTTGGCCTACCTAGCAACACTATATGCAGTTGCATTCTGACTATTGAAATACTATTATTCCTAACAGGTGAATGAAATAATTTGTATCGAGGCACTTCACAAACACTTATGCATTAAATTTGGTTACATTACGAAAATGGCCTATTTGTTGAGGGTAGAATGAGGAACTGTATATTTTGTCCTCTTTCTTTGTCATCTGCATGTATGTATATCGTCGAGCAGGCGCGTACGCAGGGGGTGGTTTTGGGGTTAAACCCCCCCCCCCTTTGAGTTTTTTTTATGTGTATGTCTTATGTATGTTATTTTTGCAAAACCCCCCCCCCCCCCCCCCCCCCCCCCCCCCTTTTGAGATTTTTTTTTTTTTTTTTTTTTTTTTTTAAATAAAAAAAAAAAAAAAAAAAAAAAAAAAAAATTGCCGATGGTTGACCTTAAAAAGGTGACCTTACCCCCCCCCCAACTGTACAAAATGTCAAATTTTCAAAATTCTAGACCAAAAAAAAAAAAAAAGTGTCCTCTTACCCCCCCCCCCCCCCCCCCCCCCCCCCCCCCCCCCCCCCCCCCCCCGCTTATTCAGCGGCTGGCTGAGACGTTGCGATTTTTTTGGGACTCTAAAAAAAAAAAAATGTACGCTTACCCCCCCTCCCCCCCCCTCCCCCGCTTATTCAGCGGCTGGCTGAGTCGTTGCGAAATTTTGGGCCCGATTTGAACCCCCCCCCCCCCCTTGAAAAAATCCTGCGTACGCCACTGTCGTCGAGTGCAATCTAAAAGATTTCTAATTGTAGTCAACATGAGCAGTTGAGTACGTTGACACGCATGATCAGTCGGCGTTCGTCGTGTTCTCGTCCACTCAATCTAAAAGTCCCTATTAATGATAAAGGTAGAGCGTAGCGAGTGGAGCGTAGCGATTTGGAGCGGGGTCCATGGAATTTGCACTGCATGGCGGGGGTCAAGGGAAGGAGCCCACTAAAGCTCAGGGGTAGGCATTAAATTATGGTCCGATAAGCATATTTAGATACCTTATTCGTGACATTTAAAGGTCACTAATTGACGGAGGGGGGTCAAGGGGGCTGAGACCCCGGAAGCTCAGTGGTTTTAGGCATTTAATTACGGTCAGATAAGCACCCAGGGGCCCGCCTACACTGTACAAAATAATTTGTTCATTGGTAATTTTTACGTATTTTTTCCATGTAGAATTTACTTGAAAACATTAGTTTTGCCACTTACGCACTAAATTTAAGTCTTGCTAACTCAAACTTTCAATTTAGTAGAACATACGTGAAATATTTAAGTAAAATCAAATACATAAGAACTTTAAGTAATTTCAGCTTGTATTAATTTAGTAATTTTAACTCAAAGTCAGAAATTATACGTATTACTCAAACAATTAATGTTGATTATTCTTATCTTTTTAAAGTAAGGACCGATGCAGTGCGTAATAGAAATATTTACATAATTTATGAATATTCATTAAGACCAAATTAAACTCTTTTTTAAATAAAACCATTCTTTTGTGTGGTTGAATGAAAATTTAAGGACTTTAAAACATTTACTAATTCATTTAACATGGCTAAGCAAAGACAAGACAATTTTTAATTGTTACCCAGTTCAAAACAAATTAAAACTTGATATTTCAGGAAATTGTCAACCAATTTTCCTTTTAAGATGCTACGATCAAGTATATATAAAATTTGGAGCCTTTCAATATGTGTCGAATCTTAATCTTAAATAGAAGTAGTGTTAGTGATTAGTGATTAATCTTAAATAGAAGTAGTGAATGATTAGTGGATGTTACTTGTTAGATTAGATGGGTACCAAATCGTGCAATATGTAATCCTATCATAGCTTTTTTTTAATTATCTAAAATGATTACAATACTTAAATTATTTACGTTAATGCAACTCGATTTAACTGAGTAAAAATTTATTCAGCAAAATAAGTAAATTCTACTTAAGATGCCGTAGGTAATATTTACTTAATAAAAATAAGGCAATTCTTTTCCTCAATTTTATTTAGTTGTTTCGACTATTATTTTTTTACAGTGTATAGGCCTCGCGAGAGTGCAAAAATCGACTTGCGAAACTCGCTCGCATTCTTACAACAGTGCTGCAAGCTTGTAGGCAAAGATCTGCTAACTCTCAGGCAGAGAGAATATGCCCTGCGAGCTTACAGGGGCGCAATCTAAAGCCCTTCCCCAGCACGAAGGCGCAATTTTTTATTTGAAGAATTCGATGAGAGGTCATATTCTATTATCAAATGCACTGTGCCATCCGTGACATGACTATAGTTATGTATATGTATGTGAATTTGTAGGGAGTGTGTCGTGGTGCGTGTGCGTGTGTGTGTGTGTGTGCGTGTGTGTGTGCATGTGTGCGTGTTTGTTAGAGAGAGAGTGAAGGGGGCTGGAGAGATAATGATAAAATTGGAGGGGTGTGAGAGATAAAGAGAAAGGAGAGGGTAAGAGAGATATGGAGAAAGAGAGCGTTGGAAGATATGACAAAGCCTCTGTATGCTTCCTTCGTCCACTAGGCATTTTTTGTGTATTAGTACCTTATCTAGGCTTATCACAAGTGATCGCTGTATTGGGTAAAGAATAATGTGGAGGGCTCATATAGTTCAGCAGTTCAATGAAGATACACAATAGAAAATGAAATTAAACGAATATGCCTCATCAATTCTTTCCTCAAATTTATCATCTCACCAAACTGAACGAATGCCCGCGTATTTCAACAGTTAGACTATCTGAGGATAAGTACACAACATGTGGCTGTTAAAGGTAGTTTAAGTCCAATTCCTGCGCTTCCTATTACACTGTAGCTGAGGAACAACTATGAATTATTAGGCTGGAATCTCAGGGATCTGCCTAAACACATGAATAATTGTGCAGCGTGAAGACGGGTTGAAATTATGCTACATTTGCAGGTCCTTCCACGCAAAGGAATGACTCTACAAAAGAGGATTGAGACAACGTTCATTTTATTTCTCTACGTCACCAAAGGATTCATTTGTGAACCATGACGATATAGCCGAAAAACAAAATTTCAATTCGAAATGGATACAAATGGGGAAAAATAGAATCACTGTCTTTCCCGTTTGACGGACCTCCCGAATAGCATAGAGTAACTACCGAAAGACAGAAAGTGAAAAATTATGAATGTATATCAACACAGAGTAACATAACTAAAGTTAGAAAGGGAAAATGATAGCATGTTATATATAAAGAATATATCAGGGAAGGAAAAAAAGAGAGGATATCAACACAGAGTAACAGAACGAAAGACAGAAAGTAAAAATGATATCAACACAGGGTGGCTTAGCGAAAGACAGAAAGTGAACAAGATAAAAGGATATCTACACAGAGCAACATAGCGAAAGACAGAACGCAAAAATGATAAAAGGATACCAACACAGAGTAACACAATAAAGAAGTAGAAAGAGACAATGATAGCACGTTATATATAAAGAATATATCAGGGAAGGAAAAAAGAGAGGATATCAACACAGAGTAACACAACGAAAGACAGAAAGCAAAAACGATAACAAAACAGAGTAACATAGCAAAAGACAGAAAGTGAACAAGATAAAAGGATATCAACACAGAGTAGCATAGCGAAAGACAGAAAGCGAAAGTGATAAAAGGATAGCAATACAGAACAACTTAACGAAATACAGGAAGAATAATGATAAAAGGGTAACGAAACAGAATAACATAAGGAAAGGTAGAAATCCAAACTTTTGAATTGATAAATACACAGAGTAACATAAAGAAAGGTGGAATTACAAAATAATAACAAGATACCCACAGAGAACAACATATGTGAATGGGACCTTGGCTTTTAAGCTTATCTGACATAATTTATAGGAGGGATTAGACCGCCCTGCAAGGTCACTGGACAGATGGTTATCTCATCAACTCAGCTCTCAGTTAACATAAGAAAAAGAGGATCATGGGGGACCAATGGTCACCGATTAGGCATTGGTTGTCATATAGAGGACGCAAGTAGCTACAAGTAGTGCAGTGGGCCTTTAACACAATACATACCTTCGCAAGTGGGTGGATCTTTAGACCACTTTCCAGCGCTTCCTGTTTTGTCTTCAACACACACGACCGCCAGATCATCAAGAGAGGCGGTGTATCCGGGTTTGCAGGTATAGGGATAAGTACTGTAAAGGTACCATGGTCCACTAATAGGCACTTCTAGTGTATTAGTTCCTTCTCTAGGATTATCACAAGTGATCACTGTATTGGGTAAAGAATAATGTGGAGGACTCATGTAGTTCAGCAGTTCAATGAAGATACACAATAGAAATTAAAACTAGAAATGCAATCGTGTCAGAACGATGTGCGTGCAATGACGCCGTGTGTCTACGTGTCAAACGAAAGAGCTTCTCTCGGACTATCCAGAGCAATTTGCATGAAGTCTGTAGCTTCTGTGATATTGGAGATAGGTAGGGCGAAAGAAAGGCATCAACAGTGACCTTGATGGGATGGTACTATGCCTACGAAGTTTGAAAGAAATTGGGATAGGGGAAAGAACCTAGAAAGGGCTCGCAAGCACTGCGTGCACAAACCAATGGGATTTGGTGCATGTTTGACATTGCAATCAAGTTCGTTGTGGGGGCCAAAAGCGTGAACCCGATATGCCCCATAGACAATGCGTGTAATGAATGGGCGGAAAACGTGCAGGATCTGTATTATGGCCGGAGTTAAATTGTTTTTTTCTCTCTCTCTTTACGTCTCTTTATGGGCCGTATTTGGTATCATTAGAAAGAGAATTTCATGGTTGTTATTGTAAACCACTCTCTTTTTTTCTATGATAATCCTATCGAAACACGTGATGTAAAATAGATGTATAGGACAAAATGGCGTCTTGAATGGCCCCCTTGACCAATTTCAAAAATCCGGCCAAGAGGTGCCCTGCGTATTGGAACTCGGCATGTCACTGCAAATTTTCAAGGAAAAAAAAGGACGTTTAAGGGGCGAAAAGCAGTCTGAAAAAATGACGTCATAGCCGAAACGTGTTAGGTTCGGGCGGAAACTCGGCGGAATTCGTGTAGTGATCTTTGTTCAAATGCGATTTACTCACAATTTTCTGTGTGAACATATATAATACTTGGTATCATCCGAAAGGGCTCTTCATTGCGGTCAGTTTGACACCATTGTTAACTGCGCGCAATGTATTGCGCGCATTGAACGCGCTATTACGTAATCCATAGTAAATACATCATTTTTGGCGATAACTTTGCGCTGACATATTTGAATTTTACCAAACTTGGTAAACAGTTGTCACGTATATGGATACATATATCTGCCAAGTTTCATTGATGTAGGTATAAAGATCGCCATTTTAAAGCAAGTTGAAGTTATTTTGGAATTTTTCTCGAAAATGGCAAATTTGGAGGGCATTTTTCTCAAATTTGGTCAGTGTAAGGGTATATAATTTTGTATAAGGCTGGAAAGGGCATATCTTCAAGTATCTAAATCCAAAAAAGGGTACGGGTTTGCCAAGCCATTATGGAGATACGGCCACAGAAAGAAAGCCAATTCCCAGAACTTTAGAGGGCGCTATTTATGTTTTGCATAGTCATTGGAGCATGAAATTTGGCATGGCTATGTGCAATTATAAGATAAGGATAATGTGAGATTTAAACACAAAACGGAATTTATATGAGAAAGTTATGGCAGTTTTAGATTTTTAGGGGTCCATTTTTCAAGAATTTGAGAGATTTTTGACGGAGTCAGTTTCAGATTTGAATTTTGAGTACGAAGATGGCATTTTGAAGGTCAGGTCATACGTCGCAGATGAAAGAACATCTATTAGACTATCTAGAGGAATTTGTTAGAAGTTTGTAGAATCTAGGATAGTGGAGATAGGAAGGAAGACAGAAAGGCCTTAAAATGGACCAAAAACGGACAAAATGGCGCCTGGACGGTTATGCATGAGTGATTTCGAAAATCAAAGAATGTAGTGACCTTGATGAGATGTTAGAGACCATGCCTATGAAATTTGAAAGGAAAAGGACATGATGAAAGCACCGAACCAGGAATAACAAACACTACGTGCAAAACGAATGCGATTTCCTGACGATAAGGATAAGGAACAGGAAAAGGAGGAAAAGGAGAATATTAATGGGGCAGAATGTGAACGAAAACAAGGCAATGACGAAGGTTCGTCATTGCAATTAAAAGAATATGATATGCCTCATCAATTCTTTCCTCAAATTTATCATCTCACCAAACTGAACGAATGCCCGCGTATTTCAACAGTTAGACTATCTGAGGATAAGTACAAACATGTGACTGTTAAAGGTAGTTTAAGTCCAATTCCTGCGCTTCCTATTACACTGTAGCTGAGGAACAACTATGAACTAGAAATGCAATCGTGTCACAACGATGTGCGTGCAATGACGCCATGTTTCTACGTGTCAAACGAAAGAGCTTCTCTCGGACTATCCAGAGCAATTTGTACGAAGTCTTTAGCTTCTGTGATATTGGAGACAGGTAGGGCGAAAGAAAGGCCTCAATAGTGACCTTGATGGGATGGTAGTGACTATGCCTGCGATGTTTGAAAGAAATTGGGATAGGGGAAAGAACCTAGAAAGGGCTCGCAAGCACTGCGTGCAAAAACAAATGGGATTAGTTGCATGTTCGTCATTGCAATCAAGATCGTTCTAGGGGTCAAAAGCGTGAACCCGATTTGCCCCATAGACAATGCGTGTAATGCATGGGCGGACAACGTACAGGATCTGTATTATGACCGGAGTTAAATTGTTTCTTCTCTCTCTCTTTATGTCTCTTTATTGGCGTATATGGTATCATTGGAAAGAGAATTTCAGGGTTGTTATTATAAACTACTCTCTTTTTTTCTATGATAATCCTATCGAAACATGTGATGTAAAATAGATTTAAAGGACAAAATGGCGTCTTAAATGGCCCCCTTGACTACTTTAAAAAATCCGGCCACGAGGTGCCCTGCGTATTGCATCTCGGAATGTCATTGCAAATTTTCAAGGAAAAACAAGGATGTTTAGGGGGCGAAAAGTAGTCTGAAAAAATGACGTCATGGCCGATAAGTGTTATAATCGGGCGGAATTCGTATAGTGACCCTTGTTCAAATGCGATTTACTCACAATTTTCTGTGTAAACATATACCATACTTGGTATCATTCGAAAGGGCACTTCATTGCGGTCAGTTTGACACCATTGTCATCTGCACGCAATGTACTGCACGCATTTAAGGCGCTATTACGTAATGCATAGCAAATTCATCATTTTTGGCGATAACTTTGCGCTGACGTTATTAAAATTTACCAAACTTGGCAGACAGTTGTCACGTATGTGGATACATGTGTCTGCTAAGTTTTAACGACGTAGGTATAAAGATCGCCGGTTTAGAGCAAGTTGAAGTTATTTCGGAATTTTCTTGAAAATGGCGAATTTGGAGGGCAATTTTCTCAAATTTGGTCAGTGATAGGGTATATAATTTTGTATATGGCTGGAAAGGGCATATCTTCAAGTATCTAAATCCAAAAAAGGGTACGGGTTTGCCAAGCCATTATGGAGATACGGCCACAGAGAGAAAGCCAATTCCAAGAACTTTAAAGGGCGCTATTTATGTTGTGCAAAACCATTGGAGCCTGAAATTTGGCATGGCTATTTGCAATTATGAGATAAAGATACTGTGAGATTTAAATACAAAACGGAATTTATATGAGAAAGTTATGGCAGTTTTAGATTATTTAGGGGTCCATTTTTTAAGAACTTGAGAGATTTTTGACGGAGTCGGTTTTAGATTTGAATTTTGACTATGAAGATGGCATTTTGAAGGTCAGGTTATACGTCGCAGATGAAAGAACATCTCTCAGACTATCTAGAGGAATTTGTTAAAAGTTTGTAGGATCTAGGATAGTGGAGATAGGAAGGAAGACAGAAAGGCCTTAAAATGGACCAGAAACGGACAAAATGGCGCCTGGACGGTCATGCATGAGTGATTTCGAAAATCGAAAGAGTAGGTGACCTTGATGAGATGCTAGAGACGATGCCTACGAAATTTGAAAGGAAAAGGACTTGAGGAAAGTACCTAACTAGGAATCACAAGCACTACGTGCAAAACGAATGTGATTTTTGGACGATAAGGAGAATATTAATGGGGCAGAATGTGAACGAAAACAAGGCAATGACGAAGGTTCGTCATTGCAATTATTAGGCTGGAATCTCAGGGATCTGCCTAAACACATGAATAATTGTGCAGCGTGAAGACGGGTTGAAATTATGCTACATTTGCAGGTCCTTCCACGCAAAGGAATGACTTTACAAAAGAGGATTGAGACAACGTTCATTTTATTTCTCTACGTCACCAAAGGATTCATTTGTGAACCATGACGATATAGCCGAAAAACAAAATTTCAATTCGAAATGGATACAAATGGGGAAAAATAGAATCACTGTCTTTCCCGTTGGACGGACCTCCCGAATAGCATAGAGTAACTACCGAAAGACAGAAAGTGAAAAATTATGAAAGTATATCAACACAGAGTAACACAACGAAAGGTAGAAAGAGAAAATGATAGGACGGTATATATAAAGAATATATCAGGGAAGGAAAAAAGAGAGGATATCAACACAGAGTAACACAACGAAAGACAGAAAGCAAAAACGATAACAACACAGAGTAACATAGCAAAAGACAGAAAGTAAACATAATAAAAGGATAACAACACAGAAGAACTTAACGAAATACAGGAATAATAGTGATAAAAGGGTAACGAAACAGAATAACATAAGGAAAGGTAGAAAGCAAAACTGATGAATTCATAACAACACAGAGTAACATAAATAAATGTAGAATTAAAAAATGATTAAAAGATACCAACAGAGAACGACATATGTGAATGGGACCTTGGCTTTTAACACAATACATACCTGTGCAAGTGGGTGCATCATTAGACCACTGTCCAGTGCTTGCGCCGACGTTTACTGTACAGACGGTCTCAAGTTCACCAGAGAGTAGGATGTTGCCGGGTATGCAGGAATAGGTAAAAACCTCGTCACGATCCCTTGGTCCACTAGGCACTGCTTCTGTATTAGTTCCTTCTTCAGGCTTATCACAAGTGATCGCTGTATTGGGTAAAGAATAATGTGGAGGGCTCATGTAGTTCAGCAGTTCAATAAAGATACACAATAGAAAATAAAATTAAAAGAATATGCCTCATCAATTCTTTCCTTAAAATTTATCATCTCACCATACTGAACGAATGCCCGCGTATTACAACAATTAGCTTTTCTGAGGATAAGTACAACTACATGTATGTGGCTATAAAAGCAGTTTAAGTCCAATCCTTGCCATGCCTATTCAGGCGCGTACGCAATGGGATGGGGGGGGGGGGGTGAACCCTCCCCTCCATTTTGTTTGTATGTGTGCGAAATTTTCGGCGGGATTTAAAAATGTTAACCCCCCCCCCCCACACCCTTGAAAAAATCCTGCGTACGCCACTGTGCCTATTACACTTTAAGTAAGAAGTAACTATGAAATATTAGGCTGAATTCTCAGGGATCTGCCCAAACACATAAATAATTTTGCACCATGAACACGGTTAAAAAATATGCTACATGTACAGGTCCTTCCACGCAAAGGAATGAATCGACAAAAGAGGATTGAACCAACGTTCATTTTTTTCTTTACGTCACTACAGGATTCATTTGTGAACCATGACAAGATAGGCGAAATACAACATTTCAATTCGAAATGAATACACATGGGGGGAAATAGAATCACTATGTCTTCCCCATTGGACGGACCTCCCGAACAACAGAGTAAAATAGCGAAAGACAGAAAGTGAACAAATTATGAAAGGATACCTACACAGAGTAACGCAACGAAAGTTAAAAAGGGACAATGATAGCATGTTATATATAAAGAATATATCAGGGAAGGAAAAAAAGAGAGGATATCAACATAGAGTAACACAACGAAAGACAGAAAGCAAAAAGGATAACAACACAGAGTAACATAGCGAAAGACAGAAAGCGAAAGTGATAAAAGGATAACAATACAGAACAACTTAACGAAATACAGGAAGAATAATGATAAAAGGGTAACGAAACAGAATAACATAAGGAAAGGTAGAAATCCAAACTTTTGAATTGATAAATACACAGAATAACATAAAGAAAGGTGTGGTATGTGGGCAGAAGGTGGAGAGAGGAGGATTGGGTTCAGATACACTTACCAGTGCAGGACTTTCCATTGCCTACAAATCCGTCATTGCATTCACACTCATAACCTCCTTCCGTGTTGTCACACTGTGCGTTAGGATCGCAGGAGTCCTTTCCGGACGTGCACTCATCGATGTCTGAAAATAATAATGATAATAATATTACTACGTCTACTACTAATACTCAGACGCGCTGGAGGCAGTTTAAGAATTGGAGGGGGGGGGGGGGAGATGGGCAAACATTCCAGAGGCTCACCCTTCAGGAGGATTGGTGTAATGAGCATAAACGTTTAGGGGGGAAGAAAAAGATGCATCACCATCACTTCTACATGTAACATGCAGGTCGAGCGGAACGTTTTTCAAAGCGGAGTATTAGGGACTTTTAGATTTGCACGTTGACAGCTTTGACTGCAACGTGTGACGTCATTTTAAGGCACTGCGCATGCTTCACGTCGTCTCAGTCGGCGATCGAGAATGCGTCAACCTTGATTTTCCTAAATCTAGTACCGGTACTAGTATATGCCGCGTGCGCATAAAATATACAGTTCCTCAGGTAGACAAAGGAACATCCCTTCCCTGCTATTATGTAAAGAAGTGTAGAACAGGTGTCACATGCATATTCACCTGTTTACAAATAGCAGTGGAGGGATGTTTTACCACAGCAATAGGCCATTTTCGCAATGTAACCAAATTTAATGCATAAGTCTTTGTGTAGTGCCTCAATACAAATTATTTCATTCACCTGATAAGAATAATAGTATTTCAATAGATAGAATCCGAACTGCATACATAAGTTGTTGCCAGGTTGGACAAACATGATGGCTTGGCCTACCTAGCAACACTTAATATATGCAGTTGCATTCTGACTATTGAAATACTATTATTCCTAACAGGTGAATGAAATAATTTGTATCGAGGCACTTCACAAACACTTATGCATTAAATTTGGTTACATTACGAAAATGGCCTATTTGTTGAGGGTAGAATGAGGAACTGTATATTTTGTCCTCTTTCTTTGTCATCTGCATGTATGTATATCGTCGAGTGCAATCTAAAAGATTTCTAATTGTAGTCAACATGAGCAGTTGAGTACGTTGACACGCATGATCAGTCGGCGTTCGTCGTGTTCTCGTCCACTCAATCTAAAAGTCCCTATTAATGATAAAGGTAGAGCGTAGCTAGTGGAGCGTAGCGATTTGGAGCGGGGTCCATGGAATTTGCACTGCATGGCGGGGGTCAAGGGAAGGAGCCCACTAAAGCTCAGGGGTAGGCATTAAATTATGGTCCGATAAGCATATTTAGATACCTTATTCGTGACATTTAAAGGTCACTAATTGTGGGAGGGGGGTCAAGGGGGCTGAGACCCCGGAAGCTCAGTGGTTTTAGGCATTTAATTACGGTCAGATAAGCACCCAGGGGCCCGCCTACACTGTACAAAATAATTTGTTCATTGGTAATTTTTACGTATTTTTTCCATGTAGAATTTACTTGAAAACATTAGTTTTGCCACTTACGCACTAAATTTAAGTCTTGCTAACTCAAACTTTCAATTTAGTAGAACATACGTGAAATATTTAAGTAAAATCAAATACATAAGAACTTTAAGTAATTTCAGCTTGTATTAATTTAGTAATTTTAACTCAAAATCAGAAATTATACGTATTACTCAAACAATTAATGTTGATTATTCTTATCTTTTTAAAGTAAGGACCGATGCAGTGCGTAATAGAAATATTTACATAATTTATCAATATTCATTAAGACCAAATTAAACTCTTTTTTAAATAAAACAATTCTGTTGTGTGGTTGAATGAAAATTTAAGGACTTTAAAACATTTACTAATTCATTTAACATGGCTAAGCAAAGACAAGACAATTTTTAATTGTTACCCAGTTCAAAACAAATTAAAACTTGATATTTCAGGAAATTGTCAACCAATTTTCCTTTTAAGATGCTACGATCAAGTATATATAAAATTTGGAGCCTTTCAATATGTGTCGAATCTTAATCTTAAATAGAAGTAGTGTTAGTGATTAGTGATTAATCTTAAATAGAAGTAGTGAATGATTAGTGGATGTTACTTGTTAGATTAGATGGGTACCAAATCGTGCAATATGTAATCCTATCATAGCTTTTTTTTAATTATCTAAAATGATTACAATACTTAAATTATTTACGTTAATGCAACTCGATTTAACTGAGTAAAAATTTATTCAGCAAAATAAGTAAATTCTACTTAAGATGCCGTAGGTAATATTTACTTAATAAAAATAAGGCAATTCTTTTCCTCAATTTTATTTAGTTGTTTCGACTATTATTTTTTTACAGTGTATAGGCCTCGCGAGAGTGCAAAAATCGACTTGCGAAACTCGCTCGCATTCTTACAACAGTGCTGCAAGCTTGTAGGCAAAGATCTGCTAACTCTCAGGCAGAGAGAATATGCCCTGCGAGCTTACAGGGGCGCAATCTAAAGCCCTTCCCCAGCACGAAGGCGCAATTTTTTATTTGAAGAATTCGATGAGAGGTCATATTCTATTATCAAATGCACTGTGCCATCCGTGACATGACTATAGTTATGTATATGTATGTGAATTTGTAGGGAGTGTGTCGTGGTGCGTGTGCGTGTGTGTGTGTGTGTGCGTGTGTGTGTGCATGTGTGCGTGTTTGTTAGAGAGAGAGTGAAGGGGGCTGGAGAGATAATGATAAAATTGGAGGGGTGTGAGAGATAAAGAGAAAGGGAGAGGGTAAGAGAGATATGGAGAAAGAGAGCGTTGGAAGATATGACAAAGCCTCTGTATGCTTCCTTCGTCCACTAGGCATTTTTTGTGTATTAGTACCTTATCTAGGCTTATCACAAGTGATCGCTGTATTGGGTAAAGAATAATGTGGAGGGCTCATATAGTTCAGCAGTTCAATGAAGATACACAATAGAAAATGAAATTAAACGAATATGCCTCATCAATTCTTTCCTCAAATTTATCATCTCACCAAACTGAACGAATGCCCGCGTATTTCAACAGTTAGACTATCTGAGGATAAGTACACAACATGTGGCTGTTAAAGGTAGTTTAAGTCCAATTCCTGCGCTTCCTATTACACTGTAGCTGAGGAACAACTATGAATTATTAGGCTGGAATCTCAGGGATCTGCCTAAACACATGAATAATTGTGCAGCGTGAAGACGGGTTGAAATTATGCTACATTTGCAGGTCCTTCCACGCAAAGGAATGACTCTACAAAAGAGGATTGAGACAACGTTCATTTTATTTCTCTACGTCACCAAAGGATTCATTTGTGAACCATGACGATATAGCCGAAAAACAAAATTTCAATTCGAAATGGATACAAATGGGGAAAAATAGAATCACTGTCTTTCCCGTTTGACGGACCTCCCGAATAGCATAGAGTAACTACCGAAAGACAGAAAGTGAAAAATTATGAATGTATATCAACACAGAGTAACATAACTAAAGTTAGAAAGGGAAAATGATAGCATGTTATATATAAAGAATATATCAGGGAAGGAAAAAAAGAGAGGATATCAACACAGAGTAACAGAACGAAAGACAGAAAGTAAAAATGATATCAACACAGGGTGGCTTAGCGAAAGACAGAAAGTGAACAAGATAAAAGGATATCTACACAGAGCAACATAGCGAAAGACAGAACGCAAAAATGATAAAAGGATACCAACACAGAGTAACACAATAAAGAAGTAGAAAGAGACAATGATAGCACGTTATATATAAAGAATATATCAGGGAAGGAAAAAAGAGAGGATATCAACACAGAGTAACACAACGAAAGACAGAAAGCAAAAACGATAACAAAACAGAGTAACATAGCAAAAGACAGAAAGTGAACAAGATAAAAGGATATCAACACAGAGTAGCATAGCGAAAGACAGAAAGCGAAAGTGATAAAAGGATAGCAATACAGAACAACTTAACGAAATACAGGAAGAATAATGATAAAAGGGTAACGAAACAGAATAACATAAGGAAAGGTAGAAATCCAAACTTTTGAATTGATAAATACACAGAGTAACATAAAGAAAGGTGGAATTACAAAATAATAACAAGATACCCACAGAGAACAACATATGTGAATGGGACCTTGGCTTTTAAGCTTATCTGACATAATTTATAGGAGGGATTAGACCGCCCTGCAAGGTCACTGGACAGATGGTTATCTCATCAACTCAGCTCTCAGTTAACATAAGAAAAAGAGGATCATGGGGGACCAATGGTCACCGATTAGGCATTGGTTGTCATATAGAGGACGCAAGTAGCTACAAGTAGTGCAGTGGGCCTTTAACACAATACATACCTTCGCAAGTGGGTGGATCTTTAGACCACTTTCCAGCGCTTCCTGTTTTGTCTTCAACACACACGACCGCCAGATCATCAAGAGAGGCGGTGTATCCGGGTTTGCAGGTATAGGGATAAGTACTGTAAAGGTACCATGGTCCACTAATAGGCACTTCTAGTGTATTAGTTCCTTCTCTAGGATTATCACAAGTGATCACTGTATTGGGTAAAGAATAATGTGGAGGACTCATGTAGTTCAGCAGTTCAATGAAGATACACAATAGAAATTAAAACTAGAAATGCAATCGTGTCAGAACGATGTGCGTGCAATGACGCCGTGTGTCTACGTGTCAAACGAAAGAGCTTCTCTCGGACTATCCAGAGCAATTTGCATGAAGTCTGTAGCTTCTGTGATATTGGAGATAGGTAGGGCGAAAGAAAGGCATCAACAGTGACCTTGATGGGATGGTACTATGCCTACGAAGTTTGAAAGAAATTGGGATAGGGGAAAGAACCTAGAAAGGGCTCGCAAGCACTGCGTGCACAAACCAATGGGATTTGGTGCATGTTTGACATTGCAATCAAGTTCGTTGTGGGGGCCAAAAGCGTGAACCCGATATGCCCCATAGACAATGCGTGTAATGAATGGGCGGAAAACGTGCAGGATCTGTATTATGGCCGGAGTTAAATTGTTTTTTCTCTCTCTCTTTACGTCTCTTTATGGGCCGTATTTGGTATCATTAGAAAGAGAATTTCATGGTTGTTATTGTAAACCACTCTCTTTTTTTCTATGATAATCCTATCGAAACACGTGATGTAAAATAGATGTATAGGACAAAATGGCGTCTTGAATGGCCCCCTTGACCAATTTCAAAAATCCGGCCAAGAGGTGCCCTGCGTATTGGAACTCGGCATGTCACTGCAAATTTTCAAGGAAAAAAAAGGACGTTTAAGGGGCGAAAAGCAGTCTGAAAAAATGACGTCATAGCCGAAACGTGTTAGGTTCGGGCGGAAACTCGGCGGAATTCGTGTAGTGATCTTTGTTCAAATGCGATTTACTCACAATTTTCTGTGTGAACATATATAATACTTGGTATCATCCGAAAGGGCTCTTCATTGCGGTCAGTTTGACACCATTGTTAACTGCGCGCAATGTATTGCGCGCATTGAACGCGCTATTACGTAATCCATAGTAAATACATCATTTTTGGCGATAACTTTGCGCTGACATATTTGAATTTTACCAAACTTGGTAAACAGTTGTCACGTATATGGATACATATATCTGCCAAGTTTCATTGATGTAGGTATAAAGATCGCCATTTTAAAGCAAGTTGAAGTTATTTTGGAATTTTTCTCGAAAATGGCAAATTTGGAGGGCATTTTTCTCAAATTTGGTCAGTGTAAGGGTATATAATTTTGTATAAGGCTGGAAAGGGCATATCTTCAAGTATCTAAATCCAAAAAAGGGTACGGGTTTGCCAAGCCATTATGGAGATACGGCCACAGAAAGAAAGCCAATTCCCAGAACTTTAGAGGGCGCTATTTATGTTTTGCATAGTCATTGGAGCATGAAATTTGGCATGGCTATGTGCAATTATAAGATAAGGATAATGTGAGATTTAAACACAAAACGGAATTTATATGAGAAAGTTATGGCAGTTTTAGATTTTTAGGGGTCCATTTTTCAAGAATTTGAGAGATTTTTGACGGAGTCAGTTTCAGATTTGAATTTTGAGTACGAAGATGGCATTTTGAAGGTCAGGTCATACGTCGCAGATGAAAGAACATCTATTAGACTATCTAGAGGAATTTGTTAGAAGTTTGTAGAATCTAGGATAGTGGAGATAGGAAGGAAGACAGAAAGGCCTTAAAATGGACCAAAAACGGACAAAATGGCGCCTGGACGGTTATGCATGAGTGATTTCGAAAATCAAAGAATGTAGTGACCTTGATGAGATGTTAGAGACCATGCCTATGAAATTTGAAAGGAAAAGGACATGATGAAAGCACCGAACCAGGAATAACAAACACTACGTGCAAAACGAATGCGATTTCCTGACGATAAGGATAAGGAACAGGAAAAGGAGGAAAAGGAGAATATTAATGGGGCAGAATGTGAACGAAAACAAGGCAATGACGAAGGTTCGTCATTGCAATTAAAAGAATATGATATGCCTCATCAATTCTTTCCTCAAATTTATCATCTCACCAAACTGAACGAATGCCCGCGTATTTCAACAGTTAGACTATCTGAGGATAAGTACAAACATGTGACTGTTAAAGGTAGTTTAAGTCCAATTCCTGCGCTTCCTATTACACTGTAGCTGAGGAACAACTATGAACTAGAAATGCAATCGTGTCACAACGATGTGCGTGCAATGACGCCATGTTTCTACGTGTCAAACGAAAGAGCTTCTCTCGGACTATCCAGAGCAATTTGTACGAAGTCTTTAGCTTCTGTGATATTGGAGACAGGTAGGGCGAAAGAAAGGCCTCAATAGTGACCTTGATGGGATGGTAGTGACTATGCCTGCGATGTTTGAAAGAAATTGGGATAGGGGAAAGAACCTAGAAAGGGCTCGCAAGCACTGCGTGCAAAAACAAATGGGATTAGTTGCATGTTCGTCATTGCAATCAAGATCGTTCTAGGGGTCAAAAGCGTGAACCCGATTTGCCCCATAGACAATGCGTGTAATGCATGGGCGGACAACGTACAGGATCTGTATTATGACCGGAGTTAAATTGTTTCTTCTCTCTCTCTTTATGTCTCTTTATTGGCGTATATGGTATCATTGGAAAGAGAATTTCAGGGTTGTTATTATAAACTACTCTCTTTTTTTCTATGATAATCCTATCGAAACATGTGATGTAAAATAGATTTAAAGGACAAAATGGCGTCTTAAATGGCCCCCTTGACTACTTTAAAAAATCCGGCCACGAGGTGCCCTGCGTATTGCATCTCGGAATGTCATTGCAAATTTTCAAGGAAAAACAAGGATGTTTAGGGGGCGAAAAGTAGTCTGAAAAAATGACGTCATGGCCGATAAGTGTTATAATCGGGCGGAATTCGTATAGTGACCCTTGTTCAAATGCGATTTACTCACAATTTTCTGTGTAAACATATACCATACTTGGTATCATTCGAAAGGGCACTTCATTGCGGTCAGTTTGACACCATTGTCATCTGCACGCAATGTACTGCACGCATTTAAGGCGCTATTACGTAATGCATAGCAAATTCATCATTTTTGGCGATAACTTTGCGCTGACGTTATTAAAATTTACCAAACTTGGCAGACAGTTGTCACGTATGTGGATACATGTGTCTGCTAAGTTTTAACGACGTAGGTATAAAGATCGCCGGTTTAGAGCAAGTTGAAGTTATTTCGGAATTTTCTTGAAAATGGCGAATTTGGAGGGCAATTTTCTCAAATTTGGTCAGTGATAGGGTATATAATTTTGTATATGGCTGGAAAGGGCATATCTTCAAGTATCTAAATCCAAAAAAGGGTACGGGTTTGCCAAGCCATTATGGAGATACGGCCACAGAGAGAAAGCCAATTCCAAGAACTTTAAAGGGCGCTATTTATGTTGTGCAAAACCATTGGAGCCTGAAATTTGGCATGGCTATTTGCAATTATGAGATAAAGATACTGTGAGATTTAAATACAAAACGGAATTTATATGAGAAAGTTATGGCAGTTTTAGATTATTTAGGGGTCCATTTTTTAAGAACTTGAGAGATTTTTGACGGAGTCGGTTTTAGATTTGAATTTTGACTATGAAGATGGCATTTTGAAGGTCAGGTTATACGTCGCAGATGAAAGAACATCTCTCAGACTATCTAGAGGAATTTGTTAAAAGTTTGTAGGATCTAGGATAGTGGAGATAGGAAGGAAGACAGAAAGGCCTTAAAATGGACCAGAAACGGACAAAATGGCGCCTGGACGGTCATGCATGAGTGATTTCGAAAATCGAAAGAGTAGGTGACCTTGATGAGATGCTAGAGACGATGCCTACGAAATTTGAAAGGAAAAGGACTTGAGGAAAGTACCTAACTAGGAATCACAAGCACTACGTGCAAAACGAATGTGATTTTTGGACGATAAGGAGAATATTAATGGGGCAGAATGTGAACGAAAACAAGGCAATGACGAAGGTTCGTCATTGCAATTATTAGGCTGGAATCTCAGGGATCTGCCTAAACACATGAATAATTGTGCAGCGTGAAGACGGGTTGAAATTATGCTACATTTGCAGGTCCTTCCACGCAAAGGAATGACTTTACAAAAGAGGATTGAGACAACGTTCATTTTATTTCTCTACGTCACCAAAGGATTCATTTGTGAACCATGACGATATAGCCGAAAAACAAAATTTCAATTCGAAATGGATACAAATGGGGAAAAATAGAATCACTGTCTTTCCCGTTGGACGGACCTCCCGAATAGCATAGAGTAACTACCGAAAGACAGAAAGTGAAAAATTATGAAAGTATATCAACACAGAGTAACACAACGAAAGGTAGAAAGAGAAAATGATAGGACGGTATATATAAAGAATATATCAGGGAAGGAAAAAAGAGAGGATATCAACACAGAGTAACACAACGAAAGACAGAAAGCAAAAACGATAACAACACAGAGTAACATAGCAAAAGACAGAAAGTAAACATAATAAAAGGATAACAACACAGAAGAACTTAACGAAATACAGGAATAATAGTGATAAAAGGGTAACGAAACAGAATAACATAAGGAAAGGTAGAAAGCAAAACTGATGAATTCATAACAACACAGAGTAACATAAATAAATGTAGAATTAAAAAATGATTAAAAGATACCAACAGAGAACGACATATGTGAATGGGACCTTGGCTTTTAACACAATACATACCTGTGCAAGTGGGTGCATCATTAGACCACTGTCCAGTGCTTGCGCCGACGTTTACTGTACAGACGGTCTCAAGTTCACCAGAGAGTAGGATGTTGCCGGGTATGCAGGAATAGGTAAAAACCTCGTCACGATCCCTTGGTCCACTAGGCACTGCTTCTGTATTAGTTCCTTCTTCAGGCTTATCACAAGTGATCGCTGTATTGGGTAAAGAATAATGTGGAGGGCTCATGTAGTTCAGCAGTTCAATAAAGATACACAATAGAAAATAAAATTAAAAGAATATGCCTCATCAATTCTTTCCTTAAAATTTATCATCTCACCATACTGAACGAATGCCCGCGTATTACAACAATTAGCTTTTCTGAGGATAAGTACAACTACATGTATGTGGCTATAAAAGCAGTTTAAGTCCAATCCTTGCCATGCCTATTCAGGCGCGTACGCAATGGGATGGGGGGGGGGGGTGAACCCTCCCCTCCATTTTGTTTGTATGTGTGCGAAATTTTCGGCGGGATTTAAAAATGTTAACCCCCCCCCCCCACACCCTTGAAAAAATCCTGCGTACGCCACTGTGCCTATTACACTTTAAGTAAGAAGTAACTATGAAATATTAGGCTGAATTCTCAGGGATCTGCCCAAACACATAAATAATTTTGCACCATGAACACGGTTAAAAAATATGCTACATGTACAGGTCCTTCCACGCAAAGGAATGAATCGACAAAAGAGGATTGAACCAACGTTCATTTTTTTCTTTACGTCACTACAGGATTCATTTGTGAACCATGACAAGATAGGCGAAATACAACATTTCAATTCGAAATGAATACACATGGGGGGGAAATAGAATCACTATGTCTTCCCCATTGGACGGACCTCCCGAACAACAGAGTAAAATAGCGAAAGACAGAAAGTGAACAAATTATGAAAGGATACCTACACAGAGTAACGCAACGAAAGTTAAAAAGGGACAATGATAGCATGTTATATATAAAGAATATATCAGGGAAGGAAAAAAAGAGAGGATATCAACATAGAGTAACACAACGAAAGACAGAAAGCAAAAAGGATAACAACACAGAGTAACATAGCGAAAGACAGAAAGCGAAAGTGATAAAAGGATAACAATACAGAACAACTTAACGAAATACAGGAAGAATAATGATAAAAGGGTAACGAAACAGAATAACATAAGGAAAGGTAGAAATCCAAACTTTTGAATTGATAAATACACAGAATAACATAAAGAAAGGTGTGGTATGTGGGCAGAAGGTGGAGAGAGGAGGATTGGGTTCAGATACACTTACCAGTGCAGGACTTTCCATTGCCTACAAATCCGTCATTGCATTCACACTCATAACCTCCTTCCGTGTTGTCACACTGTGCGTTAGGATCGCAGGAGTCCTTTCCGGACGTGCACTCATCGATGTCTGAAAATAATAATGATAATAATATTACTACGTCTACTACTAATACTCAGACGCGCTGGAGGCAGTTTAAGAATTGGAGGGGGGGGGGGGGGAGATGGGCAAACATTCCAGAGGCTCACCCTTCAGGAGGATTGGTGTAATGAGCATAAACGTTTAGGGGGGAAGAAAAAGATGCATCACCATCACTTCTACATGTAACATGCAGGTCGAGCGGAACGTTTTTCAAAGCGGAGTATTAGGGACTTTTAGATTTGCACGTTGACAGCTTTGACTGCAACGTGTGACGTCATTTTAAGGCACTGCGCATGCTTCACGTCGTCTCAGTCGGCGATCGAGAATGCGTCAACCTTGATTTTCCTAAATCTAGTACCGGTACTAGTATATGCCGCGTGCGCATAAAATATACAGTTCCTCAGGTAGACAAAGGAACATCCCTTCCCTGCTATTATGTAAAGAAGTGTAGAACAGGTGTCACATGCATATTCACCTGTTTACAAATAGCAGTGGAGGGATGTTTTACCACAGCAATAGGCCATTTTCGCAATGTAACCAAATTTAATGCATAAGTCTTTGTGTAGTGCCTCAATACAAATTATTTCATTCACCTGATAAGAATAATAGTATTTCAATAGATAGAATCCGAACTGCATACATAAGTTGTTGCCAGGTTGGACAAACATGATGGCTTGGCCTACCTAGCAACACTTAATATATGCAGTTGCATTCTGACTATTGAAATACTATTATTCCTAACAGGTGAATGAAATAATTTGTATCGAGGCACTTCACAAACACTTATGCATTAAATTTGGTTACATTACGAAAATGGCCTATTTGTTGAGGGTAGAATGAGGAACTGTATATTTTGTCCTCTTTCTTTGTCATCTGCATGTATGTATATCGTCGAGTGCAATCTAAAAGATTTCTAATTGTAGTCAACATGAGCAGTTGAGTACGTTGACACGCATGATCAGTCGGCGTTCGTCGTGTTCTCGTCCACTCAATCTAAAAGTCCCTATTAATGATAAAGGTAGAGCGTAGCTAGTGGAGCGTAGCGATTTGGAGCGGGGTCCATGGAATTTGCACTGCATGGCGGGGGTCAAGGGAAGGAGCCCACTAAAGCTCAGGGGTAGGCATTAAATTATGGTCCGATAAGCATATTTAGATACCTTATTCGTGACATTTAAAGGTCACTAATTGTGGGAGGGGGGTCAAGGGGGCTGAGACCCCGGAAGCTCAGTGGTTTTAGGCATTTAATTACGGTCAGATAAGCACCCAGGGGCCCGCCTACACTGTACAAAATAATTTGTTCATTGGTAATTTTTACGTATTTTTTCCATGTAGAATTTACTTGAAAACATTAGTTTTGCCACTTACGCACTAAATTTAAGTCTTGCTAACTCAAACTTTCAATTTAGTAGAACATACGTGAAATATTTAAGTAAAATCAAATACATAAGAACTTTAAGTAATTTCAGCTTGTATTAATTTAGTAATTTTAACTCAAAATCAGAAATTATACGTATTACTCAAACAATTAATGTTGATTATTCTTATCTTTTTAAAGTAAGGACCGATGCAGTGCGTAATAGAAATATTTACATAATTTATCAATATTCATTAAGACCAAATTAAACTCTTTTTTAAATAAAACAATTCTGTTGTGTGGTTGAATGAAAATTTAAGGACTTTAAAACATTTACTAATTCATTTAACATGGCTAAGCAAAGACAAGACAATTTTTAATTGTTACCCAGTTCAAAACAAATTAAAACTTGATATTTCAGGAAATTGTCAACCAATTTTCCTTTTAAGATGCTACGATCAAGTATATATAAAATTTGGAGCCTTTCAATATGTGTCGAATCTTAATCTTAAATAGAAGTAGTCAGCATCAGCATCATCAGCATCAGTATACGGAAGTGTGAGGTGATCCTGTTGAAACTTCCGGTCGGTAGTGTTAGTGATTAGTGATTAATCTTAAATAGAAGTAGTGAATGATTAGTGGATGTTACTTGTTAGATTAGATGGGTACCAAATCGTGCAATATGTAATCCTATCATAGCTTTTTTTTAATTATCTAAAATGATTACAATACTTAAATTATTTACGTTAATGCAACTCGATTTAACTGAGTAAAAATTTATTCAGCAAAATAAGTAAATTCTACTTAAGATGCCGTAGGTAATATTTACTTAATAAAAATAAGGCAATTCTTTTCCTCAATTTTATTTAGTTGTTTCGACTATTATTTTTTTACAGTGTATAGGCCTTGCGAGAGTGCAAAAATCGACTTGCGAAACTCGCTCGCATTCTTACAACAGTGCTGCAAGCTTGTAGGCAAAGATCTGCTAACTCTCAGGCAGAGAGAATATGCCCTGCGAGCTTACAGGGGCGCAATCTAAAGCCCTTCCCCAGCACGAAGGCGCAATTTTTTATTTGAAGAATTCGATGAGAGGTCATTTTCTATTATCAAATGCACTGTGCCATCCGTGACATGACTATAGTTATGTATATGTATGTGAATTTGTAGGGAGTGTGTCCGTGTGCGCGTGTGCGTGTGTGTGTGTGTGTGCGTGTGTGTGTGCATGTGTGCGTGTTTGTTAGAGAGAGAGTGAAGGGGGCTGGAGAGATATTGATAAAATTGGAGGGATGTGAGAGAAAAAGAGAAAGGGAGAGGGTAAGAGAGATATGGAGAAAGAGAGCGTTGGAAGATATGACAAAGCCTCTGTATGCTTCCTTCGTCCACTAGGCATTTTTTGTGTATTAGTACCTTCTCTAGGATTATCACAAGTGATCTCTGTATTGGGTAAAGAATAATGTGGAGGGCTTATGTAGTTCAGCAGTTCAATGAAGATACACAATAGAAATTAAAATTAAAAGAATATGATATGCCTCATCAATTCTTTCCTCAAATTTATCATCTCACCAAACTGAACGAATGCCCGCGTATTTCAACAGTTAGACTATCTGAGGATAAGTACAAACATGTGGCTGTTAAAGGTAGTTTAAGTCCAATTCCTGCGCTTCCTATTACACTGTAGCTGAGGAACAACTATTAATTATTAGGCTGGAATCTCAGGGATCTGCCTAAACACATGAATAATTGTGCAGCGTGAAGACGGGTTGAAATTATGCTACATTTGCAGGTCCTTCCACGCAAAGGAATGACTCTACAAAAGAGGATTGAGACAACGTTCATTTTATTTCTCTACGTCACCAAAGGATTCATTTGTGAACCATGACGATATAGCCGAAAAACAAAATTTCAATTCGAAATGTATACAAATGGGGAAAAATAGAATCACTGTCTTTCCCGTTGGACGGACCTCCCGAATAGCATAGAGTAACTACCGAAAGACAGAAAGTGAAAAATTATGAAAGTATATCAACACAGAGTAACATAACTAAAGTTAGAAAGGGAAAATGATAGCATGTTATATATAAAGAATATATCAGGGAAGAAAAAAAAGAGAGGATATCAACATAGAGTAACACAACGAAAGACAGAAAGCAAAAAGGATAACAACACAGAGTAACATAGCGAAAGACAGAAAGCGAAAGTGATAAAAGGATAACAATACAGAACAACTTAACGAAATACAGGAAGAATAATGATAAAAGGGTAACGAAACAGAATAACATAAGGAAAGGTAGAAATCCAAACTTTTGAATTGATAAATACACAGAATAACATAAAGAAAGGTGTGGTATGTGGGCAGAAGGTGGAGAGAGGATGATTGGGTTCAGATACACTTACCAGTGCAGGACTTTCCATTGCCTACAAATCCGTCATTGCATTCACACTCATAACCTCCTTCCGTGTTGTCACATTGTGCGTTAGGATCGCAGGAGTCCTTTCCGGACGTGCACTCATCGATGTCTGAAAATAATAATGATAATAATATTACTACGTCTACTACTAATACTCAGACGCGCTGGAGGCAGTTTAAGAATTGGAGGGGGGGGGGGGGGGAGATGGGCAAACATTCCAGAGGCTCACCCTTCAGTAGGATTGGTGTAATGAGCATAAACGTTTAGGGGGGAAGAAAAAGATGCATCACCATCACTTCTACATGTAACATGCAGGTCGAGCGGAACGTTTTTCAAAGCGGAGTATTAGGGACTTTTAGATTTGCACGTTGACAGCTTTGACTGCAACGTGTGACGTCATTTTAAGGCACTGCGCATGCTTCACGTCGTCTCAGTCGGCGATCGAGAATGCGTCAACCTTGATTTTCCTAAATCTAGTACCGGTACTAGTATATGCCGCGTGCGCATAAAATATACAGTTCCTCAGGTAGACAAAGGAACATCCCTTCCCTGCTATTATGTAAAGAAGTGTAGAACAGGTGTCACATGCATATTCACCTGTTTACAAATAGCAGTGGAGGGATGTTTTACCACAGCAATAGGCCATTTTCGCAATGTAACCAAATTTAATGCATAAGTCTTTGTGTAGTGCCTCAATACAAATTATTTCATTCACCTGATAAGAATAATAGTATTTCAATAGATAGAATCCGAACTGCATACATAAGTTGTTGCCAGGTTGGACAAACATGATGGCTTGGCCTACCTAGCAACACTATATGCAGTTGCATTCTGACTATTGAAATACTATTATTCCTAACAGGTGAATGAAATAATTTGTATCGAGGCACTTCACAAACACTTATGCATTAAATTTGGTTACATTACGAAAATGGCCTATTTGTTGAGGGTAGAATGAGGAACTGTATATTTTGTCCTCTTTCTTTGTCATCTGCATGTATGTATATCGTCGAGCAGGCGCGTACGCAGGGGGGTGGTTTTGGGGTTAAACCCCCCCCCCCCCTTGAGTTTTTTTTATGTGTATGTCTTATGTATGTTCTTTTTGAAAACCCCCCCCCCCCCCTTTTGAGATTTTTTTTTTTTTTTTTTTTTTTAAATAAATTTAAAAAAAAAAAAAAAAAAAATTGCCGATGGTTGACCTTAAAAAGGTGACCTTACCCCCCCCCCAACTGTACAAAATGTCAAATTTTCAAAATTCTAGACCAAAAAAAAAAAAAAAAATGTCCTCTTACCCCCCCCCCCCCCCCCCCCCCCCCCCCCCCCCCCCCCCCCCGCTTATTCAGCGGCTGGCTGAGACGTTGCGATTTTTTTGGGACTCTAAAAAAAAAAAAAATGTACGCTTACCCCCCCTCCCCCGCTTATTCAGCGGCTGGCTGAGTCGTTGCGAAATTTTGGGCCCGATTTGAAACCCCCCCCCCCCCCTTGAAAAAATCCTGCGTACGCCACTGTCGTCGAGTGCAATCTAAAAGATTTCTAATTGTAGTCAACATGAGCAGTTGAGTACGTTGACACGCATGATCAGTCGGCGTTCGTCGTGTTCTCGTCCACTCAATCTAAAAGTCCCTATTAATGATAAAGGTATAGCGTAGCGATTTGGAGCGGGGTCCATGGAATTTGCACTGCATGGCGGGGGTCAAGGGAAGGAGCCCACTAAAGCTCAGGGGTAGGCATTAAATTATGGTCCGATAAGCATATTTAGATACCTTATTCGTGACATTTAAAGGTCACTTATTGTGTGAGGGGGGTCAAGGGGGCTGAGACCCCGGAAGCTCAGTGGTTTTAGGCATTTAATTACGGTCAGATAAGCACCCAGGGGCCCGCCTACACTGTACAAAATAATTTGTTCATTGGTAATTTTTACGTATTTTTTCCATGTAGAATTTACTTGAAAACATTAGTTTTGCCACTTACGCACTAAATTTAAGTCTTGCTAACTCAAACTTTCAATTTAGTAGAACATACGTGAAATATTTAAGTAAAATCAAATACATAAGAACTTTAAGTAATTTCAGCTTGTATTAATTTAGTAATTTTAACTCAAAGTCAGAAATTATACGTATTACTCAAACAATTAATGTTGATTATTCTTATCTTTTTAAAGTAAGGACCGATGCAGTGCGTAATAGAAATATTTACATAATTTGTGAATATTCATTAAGACCAAATTAAACTCTTTTTTAAATAAAACCATTCTTTTGTGTGGTTGAATGAAAATTTAAGGACTTTAAAACATTTACTAATTCATTTAACATGGCTAAGCAAAGACAAGACAATTTTTAATTGTTACCCAGTTCAAAACAAATTAAAACTTGATATTTCAGGAAATTGTCAACCAATTTTCCTTTTAAGATGCTACGATCAAGTATATATAAAATTTGGAGCCTTTCAATATGTGTCGAATCTTAATCTTAAATAGAAGTAGTGTTAGTGATTAGTGATTAATCTTAAATAGAAGTAGTGAATGATTAGTGGATGTTACTTGTTAGATTAGATGGGTACCAAATCGTGCAATATGTAATCCTATCATAGCTTTTTTTTAATTATCTAAAATGATTACAATACTTAAATTATTTACGTTAATGCAACTCGATTTAACTGAGTAAAAATTTATTCAGCAAAATAAGTAAATTCTACTTAAGATGCCGTAGGTAATATTTACTTAATAAAAATAAGGCAATTCTTTTCCTCAATTTTATTGAGTTGTTTCGACTATTATTTTTTTACAGTGTATAGGCCTTGCGAGAGTGCAAAAATCGACTTGCGAAACTCGCTCGCATTCTTACAACAGTGCTGCAAGCTTGTAGGCAAAGATCTGCTAACTCTCAGGCAGAGAGAATATGCCCTGCGAGCTTACAGGGGCGCAATCTAAAGCCCTTCCCCAGCACGAAGGCGCAATTTTTTATTTGAAGAATTCGATGAGAGGTCATATTCTATTATCAAATGCACTGTGCCATCCGTGACATGACTATAGTTATGTATATGTATGTGAATTTGTAGGGAGTGTGTCCGTGTGCGCGTGTGCGTGTGTGTGTGTGTGTGTGCGTGTGTGTGTGCATGTGTGCGTGTTTGTTAGAGAGAGAGTGAAGGGGGCTGGAGAGATAATGATAAAATTGGAGGGGTGTGAGAGATAAAGAGAAAGGGAGAGGGTAAGAGAGATATGGAGAAAGAGAGCGTTGGAAGATATGACAAAGCCTCTGTATGCTTCCTTCGTCCACTAGGCATTTTTTGTGTATTAGTACCTTCTCTAGGCTTATCACAAGTGATCGCTGTATTGGGTAAAGAATAATGTGGAGGGCTCATATAGTTCTGATGGATCTGCCCAAGTACATGAATAATGGTGCACCATGAAGACGGGTTGAAATTTTGCTACATGTGCATGAATGAATCTACAAAAGAGGATTGACCCAACGTTCATTTTATTTCTTTACGTCACTACAGGATTCATTTGTGGACCATGACAAGATAGCCGAAATACAAAATTTCAATTTGAAAAGAATACACATGGAGAAAACAAAAGAATCACTATGGCTTCCCCATTGGACGGACCTCCCGAATAACATAGAGTAAACTAGCGCAAGACACAATGTGAAAAATGATAAAAGTATATCAACACAGAGTTACATAACTAAAGTTAGAAAGGGAAAATGATATGACGGTAAATATAAATAATATATCAGGGAAGGAAAACAGAGAGGATATCAACACAAAGTAACAGAACGAAAGACAGAAAGTAAAAAAGATATCAACACAGAGTAACATAGCGAAAGACGGAAAGCGAAAGCGATAAAAGGATAACAATACAGAACAACTTAACGAAATACAGGAAGAATAATGATAAAAGGGTAACGAAACAGAATAACATAAGGAAAGGTAGAAAGCAAAACTGATGAATTGATAACAACACAGAGTAACATAAAGAAAGGTAGCATTAGAAAATGATAAAAAGATACCCACATACATGGGTGTCGATCCCTGGGGGGGGGGGGTGGGGGATATATCCCCCCGCCCCACTATTTCAGGTGGGGGGATGGCCTGTACAATCACACCCCCCCCCCCAATAATTCACCATCCCCCAAAAAAATGAAGAGAAAAATTAATGATGAGAGCCCGATGAGAGTAGTTAATGGTTATTACTCGCAAGATGACCATCAGTATACACATTTTGCTATCTCATTTTCATAATACATACATATATAAATAGAAAACAAAGTAAATGAGAAAAGAATAAATTGAATTCGCGCTCATACGGCTCCATCAGGAATTGATGCATTTATTCAATTTATTCAATCAACAGCATCATAGAAATGCAATGCGCCAAATGTAAAGCTGCAGCGTTAAAAAGCAACGAGCTAAGCGCGAAGCGCAAAAGTGCAAAAGTGCAAAAAAAAAAGTAGCGAGTGGGAGAGAGAGATAATGAGAGACAGAGAGGATACAGGCGCGTAGACAGGGGGCGGTGGGGCAGTCGCCCCCCCCCCCCCAAACAAAAAAAAAAAAAAAAAACGCCGGAGAGAGAGAGAAAGAAGAAAGGAAGAGGACGTACACTCTTAATTTCACCCAGGTCGAAAATCCCATAGAAACCAGTAGAGAAAACCAGTACAGATTTCTAACGGTTTCTAGTGGTCAATTCTCTACTGGTTTCAATATGGAAAGTGGCGCTTTTTCCATTAGAAACCAGTAGAAAAAAAATCGTACTGGAACCAGCAGAAGACCAGTAGAAGACCATTAGCAAAACCTAATGGCACCATTAGGAGACCAGTAGGAATCCCAACTGGAACCATTAGGAGACCAGTAGGAAACAAGTACAAATCCCCACTGGAACCAGTAGGGGACCAGTAGAAATCGATATAAAAACCATTAGAAGACCAGTAGAAAAGAAGTGCTGGAACCATTAGACAAGTAAAAAAGAAGTCATGGAACCATTAGGAGACCAGTAGGAATCCATACAGAAACCATTAGGATACCAGTAGAAAACCAGTAGAAAACCCCAATGGAACCATTAGGAGACCAGTAGGAATCCCAACTGGAACCATTAGGAGACCAGCAGGAATCCATACAGAAATCATTAGGATACCAGTAGAAAACCAGTAGAAAACCCCAATGGAACCATTAGGAGACCAGTAGGAATCCCAACTGGAACCATAAGAAGACCAGTAGGAATCCATACAGAAACCATTAGGATACCAGTAGAAAACCAGTAGAAAACCCCAATGGAACCATTAGGAGACCAGTAGGAATCCCAACTGGAACCATTAGGAGACCAGTAGGAATCCATACAGAAACCATTAGGATACCAGTAGAAGACCAGTAGAAAACCCTAATGGAACCGTTAGGAGACCAGTAGGAATCCCAACTGGAACCATTAGAAGACCAGTAGGAATCCATACAGAAACCATTAGGATACCAGTAGAAGACCAGTGGAAAACCCTTATGGAACCATTAGGAGACCAGTAGGAATCCCAACTGGAACCATTAGGAGACCAGTAGAAAACAAGTATGAATCCCCAATGGAACCAGTAGAAGACCAGTAGAACACAAGTAGGAATTCTCAATTGAACCACAGCATTGGTTACATTACATGGTTGACATTTTTTTGATCAGTTTAAATTCTACTACATCAATGCACTTCCAACACAGTACTCCTCACAAAATCTGCCAGCCCTTGTTTGTTTTTTTGTACTTTAAAAGGGCATGCTGGTCTGCAAAGTAGACACGAAAATGACAGAAGCTGGCATGAAGTTTGCTTCCAACACAATTAACTATCTTCTCGAGGTTCAGCCATTTCTCTCGCAAACGTCTGTTAACAAAAGACATCACAATCATGTTGGTTCATCTATATCATATTTAACACTTAACAGTGTATCCTTTAATTATCTGTCAGAATATCATACATCATTATAGTGATTACAATGACATGAACGTTTAAAAGCAAGGTTAACAGCTTAAATGAAAAAGGATTATTTTACACATTTCAACAACAAAGAAGAAATATTAAAAAAAAAACAATGTTAAATTGGCTTATTATTGTCTAGAAATTATGGCCAGTTTTAACAAAGAGAAATCAATCTTGAAAATTTGGAGTAGATGTTTAAAAGAGTAGGTTTGGCAATTTGCAATAGTTATCTTACGGTAGCCATCATGAGTAGAAACAATGAGAAATAGTTTTTGCTGAGAAATTTCGTTTGTAATTTTCCACCATGGAGAATAAGTTCATTTGCACAAATTTAAGTACTTCATTCATGTATATTAAATAGAGAATAATTCACAAATGATTACGCAAAGCATGATTTTGACCTGTAGATTGTCATAGTACATGTAAAAGATTGATATGAAGTTGCAGCAATTGGAAATGTAATATTGTGTACTACATAATATAAGCCTACTACATTAACAAGCAAAACAAATTCATTTACGGTCTTACTATTTTGACAAGTGCTGTGATATGCTGTTCATCAATAAATGTAACTTGATAGTACAGTGTATTATGACAAATTATGACAAATCGATAAACAAATGAAATATGGTCCATATTTAAGAAGGGTTTGAATTTAAAAATGAAATAGATTTCATAATTACGAAAAATATAAATGGTGCATAATTCTGGAATTGAAAAAGGGGCGTTAATAACGATATTGAAATAGGGTTCATAATTCGGCAAATGAAATGGTATTATTTTGAATATGAAATAGGATTCATTATATTGACGGTTCGTAATTCCAAAAAGGATAAAGGGTTCTATTTGCATTTTCAGAATAATAAACTTTTGGAAGTATATTGAGCCCTATTTAATTTTCTGAATTATGAACCATATTTCATTTTTGGAATTACAAATCCTAGTTCATTTTCAGAATTAGGAATCCTACTCCATTTGTAGAATTATGAACCCTTTAGAATTTATAAAATTATGAACCCTCAGAAAACGACATATAACAGTTCAAAGATTTCCTATCCATATGAATACATGTACTGTACGTAGGTCATTTTCGTATTGTAATCAAATTTAATGAATACGGTAGGTCCTTGTTAAGTGCCTCATTACCAATTATTAAATTCACCTGTTACGAATAAATGTATTTAAATAGTCAGAATACAAATTGAATACATTACGTGTTGCTAGTACTATAGGTAGGACAAACATTATGTCTTGCCCTACCTAACAACACATAATGTTTGCATATCGCATTCTGACTATTGAAATACAATTATTCTTAATAGGTGAAAGAGATAATTTGTTCCGCAGCACTTTGATTTGATTTATAACGAAAATGGCCTAATCACATTATGTTACATAGGGCTTACCCTTTACACTTTTTAAAGGGAAATCCAACCTTAACAGACAACTATACTTTTAAAAAATTGCAAATTAAATCTGACAGAAAATAAGGTGGTTATGGATTGTTGAAAGCTGTAATCACTAAACCTAAGGGCATTTCAAATTGGCTGAATCGGTAATGTCACTATGACGAGCTGCTGGACTACTTTCCCATTTATTTCAACACACAAAATGATTTTAAAAAAATTTTCTTCAAAATGTATGATTCACGAGTGGCTTTTCTATGTAGAGGACCTGTAATAATGTGCTATTCATAATATATTTTGAGTAGTTCTCAAAGGGAGAAGGCACTTAAAATAAAAAGAGAATTTATTATATTTCATTAACAAATGGGAGAGTTGTCCCATGACTACAGGTGTAATAATAATAATAATAGTGGGTTCTTGAGTAGCGCTCATGTCAGTCAGATTTGACCCTCCTGGCGCTCCCGATTATTACCCTGGCTTTAGCACGGCTGCCATACGGCGCTCTAGCATTTCATTGAGATATGCATGGATTTAGTGATCTCATATTTATATATTATCACAACTCCCTTTATATTGGCCCGATTTATTTCAAACTTTCGCCTTTCTATTTCTCTTATTTTTCAGCTTCCATTTCAATGAACTTATTACAAGGGTTGGATTGTCTTTTAAGGCTCGTTCAGATATGATGCTGGAGTTGACATAAAGTTCTATATGTTTTACATTTCTATATATTATAATACAGAGATCACTGAATATGCGCAGTCCAAAATATACAAAAACATGTAGGTCCTTTGTTACCGTTTACTTTAAACATAAAACAAAACTGCAGCATTTTTGGAATTTTTTGGGCGGTTCACGTGCCATACCTGAATAAAGTCTTAAGTGCTTAAGATTGGAATCGATTTGTATTGCATCTACCTCATTCAATTTTTCTCTATTACCAACTTATATAATTTGCCACAGGTTTTAGGAATTGACATTGTGATATGAAGGGGGTGGGGTCGAGTATGAGACTGATCTACTACATAAGCATTATGAAACAGGTCTACTTCATAAATAGTAATAACAAATTTATGCAAATACAGAGATCTTTTACCCAAAGTGTTAATATGTATGTTTGTAAACCCTGGAATTCATTAAAATGGCAAGTGACATTAATGGGCATCTCAGTTCTACATCTAAGCTATTCAGGTTCGTGGCTATAACTCACTCCCCCCCCCCCCCCCACCCATCTCTCTCTCTCGATATCTCTATAATGAAGGGGAAAGTAACCTCTGTGTGTGTGTAGACCTCATTTTGGAAATATTCCTCTTCAGCTTGGACTCATGGTTTAGATTTTGGGTGGAATGTCCTGTATAATGCAAGTGCTGCTTGATCCAGGGTACATACCGGTACACGCAAAGAATTCTAATGCATGAATATAGAGCAAAGAGAAAGGAAAACAAGTTAAGAAAAACTTTTATCCATTTTAAAACTAGAATGTAAACAATGAATTAAATAATGAATTCTGTCAGAAAAGTGCAGTTTCAAAGATTTATCAGAAATAAAATAATCTCTCATTGCTCACAAACATAATAAAAAACATACCTTTGCATTGTAAACATTTGTTGTCAATGCAAACGTGAATCAAGATTTTTTTGCAAATAATTATCAATACAATTCTAGTTTGCTGATGAGAGTAGAATCAAAGCTCTATTGCTAAGGAGGGAAAAGAACACTGTTTGAAACTCACAAAATATGGTCGGTTATTGCAATATACCTGCAGGTTTTAGTGATCTAAAATTAATTGAATTTTATATATTTGAAACTTAGGAAAAATAAGCATTTCGAATCAGTGTCATGATCAGGGAAAAATTAAAAATATATGCACAGAAATAATACAAGTACATCTACACAATTACCGATAATGGCTTCAACTGTGTCACGAGGCTGCTGAATGCTGATCCAGGAGGTTGAGAGAAAGTAGCATTTTCTGCATGTTCTCACGTCAATATAGGCCTACTGTGTCCACAATATGCTTTGAATCCACTGTTTGGCAAAAGATGTCAAAAGATGCCTACAATTAATAAGAACAAAAATAAAGTTAAAACAAATTGAACGGTTGATGCATGTGCAACACACATACATGTAGGCCTACTACAAACTTCTTTGTACAGCCTGCGGGGAAGGAATTTTGTTTACCATTTACAGGTCTAGCTGTTTATTTCCAGATGAGGGCTTCTGTTTATATTGTGCGAAACTGCGAACACACCATAAAGTGAATAAAGCCCCCTTCCCCGCTTGTCTTAAAATTAGGGTGCGTTGCAGAAACGGAGTACCGCCTTAACGCACTCTTTCGGGATAAGGGGGGGGGGGGACGGCGGCTTGTCTGATTATCAAGATATTTATGATTGGCATTCAAAATTTCCAAAAACGTTTTCCCCAATGGTTTTATAACACTACAGTCTATTGGGGAAAATGAGTATGGTAAAACCGGTCACTCAAAAGTCAAAGATTTTTTACTTTTTTTAGGCACTTCATCAAGTTCATGATCATTTTGAAGCGCAATTTTGTTAGGGCTTCAATATTACACCATATCACTGACACTGATAATACGTAGGGCCATGCATCATAGATTTAACATTGTTAAACGATGCCTTTAAAGCCATGTGTAGGTGAATGCACAAACTTGCATCAAGATCTAACATAAAAATACATGGATGGGACAATACAATACATTTCTCGTCTTTGCGGCAGGCGTTGAAAGCACTCCTAGTAGACACGATCATACATTAATTACTACGTTTCAAAACAGAAAACAGTTACTGCACATATTGCAAATAAATTAGGTAAATCTAAGACTTACCCATATTGAAGAATAGCAGGGGAAAACAAAGTAATAAAAAGATTTTGTCTCTCTGCTCTGGTAGCTGTTGAGGATAGGAATGGCTGTCTTGCTGTCTTGTGTGTGTGTGTCATATGGCATGGCCTGGCTGGGTACACGCACACACTGCATGCATTGATTACATGTGCACACACACACAGTGCTAGTGTAGCCCAGAGAGATGCCAGCTGTGTAGCCGTTTAAAAAAGGCGGCAGTCGCATTTTGGGGTTTTGGGGCTTGTATAATCTTGATCAATATTGCAGACCTTACAGGGCATATGTCAAGATGTTGCACAATCTGTAAAATAAAACTATTAATATAATGACTAATGACATTTTAGAGTTTTTCATCCCTGTTTTGGGGTTTTAAATAAATATAGTCAGACTGATTCAGAGGCGGCGCTAGATCTTACTGATTTCTATTTGTTTCAACTGGTTTTCAAATCCATTGACATGCATGGGCTCGATCTGCTGGTTTGTAAAGGTTTCAATGGTAATTGACTTAAGATTTTTATACCCATGTTCAAACCATTAGAATCTACTGGTTTCTATCAGATTCTAGTGGTCTTCGAAACCATTAGGCTCTACTGGTTTTGTAAAGGTGTCTAATGGTTTGACTTAAGATTTGTGCATCCATGTTCAAACCATTAGATCTTACTGGTTTTTATTGGTTTCTACTGGTCTTCAAACCATTACAGTCTACTGGTTTGTTAAGGTTTCTAATGGTTTGACTTAGGGTTTTTACACCAATGTTAAAACCATTAGATTCTTCTGGTTTCTATCGGACTCTGTGGTCTGCAAAACCATTAGGCTCTACTGGTTTTGTAAAGGTGTCTAATGGTTTGGCTTAGGATTTTTACACCCATGTTAAAACCATTAGATTCTTCTGGTTTCTATCGGATTCTAGTGGTCTTCAAAACCATTAGGCTCTACTGGTTTGTTAAGGTTTCTAATGGTTTGACTTAGGATTTTTACACCCATGTTAAAACCATTAGATTCTTCTGGTTTCTATCGGATTCTAGTGGTCTTCAAAACCATTAGGCTCTACTGGTTTGTTAAGGTTTCTAATGGTTTGACTTAGGATTTTTACACCCATGTTAAAACCATTAGATTCTTCTGGTTTCTATCGGATTCTAGTGGTCTTCAAAACCATTTGGCTCTACTGGTTTGTTAAGGTTTCTAATGGTTTGACTTAGGATTTTACACCCATGTTAAAACCATTAGATCCTACTGGTTTCTATCGGATTCTAGTGGTCTTCCAAACCATTAGGCTCTACTGGTTTTGTAAAGGTGTCTAATGGTTTGACTTATAAATTTGTGCATCCATGTTCAAACCATTAGATCTTACTGGTTTCTATTGGTTTCTTCTGGTCTTCAAACCATTAGGCTCTACTGGTTTGTTAAGGTTTCTAATGGTTTGACTTAGGATTTTTACACACATGTTAAAACCATTAGATCCTACTGGTTTCTATCGGATTCTAGTGGTCTTCAAAACCATTAGGCTCTACTGGTTTGTAAAGGTGTCTAATGGTTTGACTTAAGATTTGTGCATCCATGTTCAAACCATTAGATCTTACTGGTTTCTACTGGTCTTTAAACCATGACAGTCTACTGGTTTGTAAAGGTTTATACTGGTTTTACTTCACAGTTCCGCCTGATCACCATTAGACTCTAATGGTTTCTTGAAAACCAGTAAAACCATTAGAACGTCTCTACTGGTTTCTACTGGTTTCTAAAGGAATTTCGACCTGGGCAGCGAGTAAATTGTGCCGAGTAAGACAAGCTGAGTAACAAAATGAGCAATTCAGTACTCAAGCTGGAGTAAGAAATCAATTTTGGTGGTACTCGTCATCCGAGTAATTTGTTACCTTCGATAAAGAGTAAATCAATGACTCAACATTGAGTAAGAACTTCGTTTGTGTTAATTTTGAGTAAACTACGGTTGGGTATTACAAGCCCTGGTATTAGCTGTCTCGTGCATGCATGTGCGCGTGCAGAAAGAAGCAAAAGAACTGAGATAGATCTGACACATTGGGAAGAAATTCTGAGCTCATGGATCGAGCTTGGAAGAGCTCCAACCGACATTTCTAGGTAAGAAATCCTTATGATAATATTAAAAGAGCTACCATGTGATATTTAGTCAAGTCTCAAGAACACTGTGTTGATCAAGATTGTGAAATTATTGTTGTCACTGTCGATGACATTAATTTGATTGTGAACTTAGCAATTCTCTAAGAGCGAGCGTGCATGCATTAATTTAGTGACCGGTAATAGCTAGCCTATTTTATTGTATTTGTATTAAACACGTATTGGCCTGGGGTAGGCCTATTGATGCAGATGGTTCTAAGGACAATTGCCCCTGGGCAATCGGCCAATTACCAGCGGGACAATTACCCCCCCCCCCCCAGAAAATAACCCCCTGAAGACAACCACCCCAGACAATTACCCCTAGAAAATTATCCCCTAGGACTCGGAGTAGAACAACTTCCCCCCGAAAAAGACAATCTTCTTTTATCAAAACCAATTAGTTCTTATCATCCTATCGAAACTTAAAGGCACACTGTCCTACTTGTAGCTACTTGCTCCCTCTATACAGAAAACTTCCCAAATCGGTGCCTGTCGGTCCCCCATGATCCTCTTTTTCTTATGTTAAATGAGAGCTGAGTTAATGAGATAGCCACCTGTCACAGTGACCTCGATGGCTCGCTGTGTGGTCTAATCCCTTCTAGCTGCAGTAGTAACGCCTACCTTTAATGCACATAAATTAACCTCTACCTTGTTAATTCCTACCATGTTAACTACATATCAAAATGTTATCATTTTATGAAGGAACTGGCTTGGACTTTTTTCTGGCCTCCTTTAGAGGAAGGAGCCAACTGTTTTTGTTGGTGCTTTGAGGAACACCAAAGAAGCCAGGACAGTGTTATATAGTCCTCGAGAGAAGCGCCTATTCATGCTCTTCATTGACAGCAGCAGTTGACTACTGCTACAAGATGTTTTAAGTACTACAGCTGGATTGCCCTGCCCATGCAGCTGTCATATGGGACTTCTTTGATCGTCTCATTTATGGAATTCGTACCAAGGACTTTATTAAACCATGGACCCTGGTACAGATGGACTAATAATGAGAGTCTTTCTTTGATCACATCATTACCACCGCCACCTGATAATGTGTATGTTGATGAGGACATTTATTTGAGGCGACAATGATTATTATGTAATCACGCATCATCACAGACAAAATAACTTTTACATTTCTTCAGATTCTTTTCGCTAGGCCAGGGCCCACAGTGTAGTTTCAGGATAAGTATCGTGATTTAAGACCAGTTAGAGGAGCAGTGAACCCCATATTATGACAATTTGTGTGATATTAGATTGATTATTAAAGAAGTGGACACTGCATGGTGGACATACATCTGGACTTGGAAATGGATAGGATAAGTTTTAAAATGAAGTTTAAAATTATTGTGTTACAGCCAAATTTACAGATTTCTCTTATTGTAAACTACTTCTAATTTTCTATTGAAGATGTAAAGTAACGTTGTTTTAAAATTGAAATTTTTAAACTACATACTTTTTAATATCATGTATGATGAGAGAACTCTGAGTTTTCACTGTGATTCAAACTGATTTTGGAAATTAAAGTCCACAAATTATGTTACTGAATTTAAAATGTCGTGGACTTTATAATATTATTTGCATAGTGTGGGAGTGAAGAACTTCACATCAATGCTAAATTTAGAAATCAGGAAAAATTATGGTTTATATTCTCTTTTGACAAATAATGGTTACTTAAAAGCTGTTAAAAAATGCGATATTAATCAGCGGTTTAGTTAAACCCTTAGTCAAACAGTTACAACCCTAGTTGAATCCACCTTTGTTTTAATCAGTATTGAGTAAAAACATGTACTTAATAACTTAGAACATGTTTTTACTCAATATTGATTAAGCAACTAAGCGTAACCCAGAAACCATCATACTCAATATTTGAGCAAAAAATTGCTCAAACAATTTGAGTCAAAACATGTACTCGTTAATTGAGTAAAATTTGGCTCAACTCATGAGCAGTTTCTTACTCGACATGAGTTGATTACGTTTCTACCCCGATGCTGAGTAAAAAAGGGAACCGCTCAACAAAGGAGTAAATATTGAGTAAAGGTTGACTCATTCAAACTGAGTAGAGATTTAGTCTTTTATTGAGTAATATTTTTACTCAACAGATGAGTAGATATGTTACTCAACACATGCTGAGTAAAGTTTACTCAAAAGTTGGGTGGTTCCCTTTTGACTACTCAAATTGAGCAGTTTTTTTTTAGAGTGTAGGAAGAAAAAGGATTTAGAGTTGAGAACGGTACAACGAATCGCCTTCTTTCTCAAATAATTTAATGAAACTTCAAAGCTTCCGCGCTTCGCGCGGGAAGAAGGGGGGGGGGGGAGAGGGGGAAACTGATTTCAGACAAGGATTAAGAGTCGAGAATGGTACAACGAATCGTCTTATTTCTTTAATAATTTAATGAAACGTCAAAAGAAACCGAATTTAGACAAGGATTAAGAGTCGAGAACTGTACAACGAATCGTCTTCTTTCTTTAATAATTTAATGAAACGTCAAAGCTTCTGCGCTACGCGTGGAGGAAGGGGAACTTGATTCAAACAAGGATTAAGAGTCGAGAACGGAACAACGAATCCTCTTCTTTCTCAAATAGTTTAATGAAACGTCAAAATAAAATCCTGGCTACGCGCTTGAGAGGATAATAACCCAGGTAGCAAGCTCATGTCGGACCCACATGGTTCCCATATTCTCTGAAATGTTATCTTTATTGAGGGTGACTTGAAAAAGTTAATAACTTGGAAGGGAGGGGTGCAACCTGCCACACGCTTCTACCTCTTGGTTGCTTTGATCCATTGCCGAAAATATTTTGGCACCTATCATCCCCCCCCCCCCCAACCACAACCAACGAGTACAAATCGACACCCCTGCCCACAGAGAACGACATATGTGAATGGGACCTTGGCTTTTAACACAATACATACGTTTGCAAGTGGGTGGATCTTTAGACTTTCACAACCTAAGAAACTGCCATGCCATTTCAC